AAGGTAGGAAAGTCTAACAAGTTTACTTTCACAAACAAAAAATACCAACTGCTTATGCTGCTCTATGAAGTGTATTAAAATATACAATACAAAAACACATGTAATGATGTTAATATGGACATGTACTTTCAGTGGCATGTGTTTAAATGGCAATTGGGCTTAAAACAAAGACACATTTATTCTAAAACAGGCTAATACATAATTAATGACCATTTAATCACAGTGACCACAAAACCTACACTAATCTGAGTGAGGACTTTATACAGAGAAATACACAAATCCAAGTGCGAGCGAATGCACACAGAATCACACATACCCACACAGAGAGAAATTCACCCCCTTGCTGCGGAGAAAATGAAGGGCTACTGACTGTACAGTGAGGAGAGAAGTAAAGGGAAGACCAAGTGAGAAAGAAACTGACAGAGAGAGATATAAGCTGAGAGGAAAAACCCAGGGGATGTGGGGGGCTTTGGGTGGGGGTGGGTAAGGGGGGGGTGAAAGGAGGAGGAGAGCAAAATGACATACTCAGAGGCAGTGAGGCAAAAGTCTCATGTGATTTAGAGTAGATTTAGAAGGGGAAGTGCTGTGGGGGAGATAAGCACCACGAAAAACTGCTCAGACCGCAGGTTTGCAACATTGGGCCAGAGAAGTAGTCTCAGTACAAGAGGGGGGATTCACAGAGTAGGACCATGTTAGATAGCGGCTTAACCCTCCTCATCTCCAGTCACACACAGGGGGAAAATAAATATTAATTCCCTTCCCATGTGCTCAGTGCTAAAGACTTCCCCAAAGGGTTGTGTCCGTGAGTTCCATGTAAAAGAGCCATTCAGAGTAGTTTTACGATAGGGCTCTGTTACGTGTGTATGTTTTGCCTCTGCTGTCCTGTGTCCTGTTCCAGGTACCGTCCTCCCCTCCGACTGGTCAGGCACACCTGCAGTAGCTTAGCAATCAGGAGGATTGCTATAAAGCTGCTACGACAGAAGCAGACGGGGCCAGTGGGCCAAAAACCACCAGATAGAGTCCTGTCTCTGTCGGGTGTAAAGCAGAGCTGTGTGGTGCTCGTGTGTTACCATTATTCCCTCAGTGGAGGGATAGCGTAATTTATTTATTGTATCCGTGATTTGCTTAGTTAAATGTGTTTTCACTTCCTTCCTTTTTAGGAAGTTGTTTTGTGTTTACGTTTTGATCTAATTTACGTTGGAATAAATAGTTTAAAGGTACAAATTTCTATGTTTCCTGCCCTTCTTTAAACGCCCGGGTAAATTATTAATTATTACTCCTCTTTTCCCCTGGACCCCACAACTGCGGACGTAACAGGCTCCAAAAAATTGTCATATAATAATAGTTAGTTAGTTATTATTATATAATAATTCACATATTTAATGAGAAAAAAAAAAAAACATTGTAAAAGCTATTAAATAATTACAAAATGAGTTAAATCTGCATTAGGTGATTTTTGACTATTGGTTGGCATGATAATAATATTTTCTACTTAATTTCTAATAGAATATTAACTTAATTCATACATAACCATATGATCCATGGCATCATCTCAAGTGCTGCTAATTTCTCCCGTGACTGTAAAACATCAAAACAATTATTTGTAGCCAAGAAGGTATTAAGCTGTTGAAAAAAAGCCTTTTCAATAACCTTACTTAAAAAGACCTTTATGGGCTTGTAATTCTTCATTAGTGAGTGGTATAGATTTATTTGAGTAGCTTAATAACTGCAGTTTTCAGGGGCTGTGGGAAATAGCCTGAGTAGAGAAGTGTTGACTATTTGCAGAGGATCTGACGCCATGCAGTTAATTACATTTCTGAAAAATCCTGCAGGTGGAATATTGAGGCAGTAGGAGGAGGAGATGTTGCACAGCGTTTTTCAAGTTTTTTATAGCTGATAGGATCAACTTGTGTCATGCTAATTACATTTATTCAGGACAAAACTGAAGAAGAGCCTGCTTCTGGCCTTTTGGTGGCAGGAACACTTTAAAAAAACATATCTGCTATGTTTAAGAGAAAGCAGTAACTGGGTGACAGTTTGTTTGAGAAAAAGTTTTTTAAAAAACAACAACAATCAATCAAAGAGAGAGAATAAAGACATATGATGATAATGACACATACTGTACATACTTTGCAAAAGTTTTGCCATAGTTTCAGCAGATGATGGAGCTATCAAGGCCCTGGATAATCCCTCCCAATAAGATATAGGCACAAGGGGATTATAGAGTCAATCACTTATCACCTGGAAGAAGATATATCTTCGATCAACAGAGTCAATAGGAACAGATTGGAGTTGAGTTGTTGGGAGGCTGCAATTTGGGCAGGTGATTACTGAATTCCTGTAAAGATGGCAGTAGAAAAATACTACATATACTTATAAATACTCTTCAGAGTTGTTATGTTTCTGTATAGATACAGGCAAAAAAGAATGCAATTAATATTTCTATTTAATAATATTTTTCTATGAATTGTGAGAGAAAATCCCAATATTGTGTTTGATTAAGAATATTTTACAGATTTATTTTACAGAATTGTGCTGCCCTACTAAAGGCTGAAAGACTTTCAAACAAACTCAAAGAAACCCCCGACGGTAGCCATAATACACCATCTCTGTTTTCACTTACAGAACACAGCCAACCGATGCAGAGCAGCATGACCACTCCATTGAGCTCATTTCTGCCCACTTGACAAATCTAAGTTCAATATTCATTCTCCTTTTCTTTTCTTTTTTGTTTTTACTTTGTTTAACGTGTAGGGTTTACTTCATGCTGGGCAGGTAGTGCACACTCAGCATGGCTGCCTGCAGTATTATATGGGGCTTTGATTGAGGATTGTGGTTTGACTCATATAGTCTACTCGTGGTCTAGAGAACTAAAACAGTGAGCTAAGAGCTTTAAATCTGTGTAAAGCTGTAGAGTTGTTTTTTTTTTTTTTTTTTTACAGTTGTTTGTAAGTTCTGCACTACACTACCTTTCTACATTACACTAGCTTTGGTATTAACACTAATGATATTACTTACTTAAAATGAATTTCAGAGTGGTTAATTCAAACAATTGTGAAATTATAAACATATTTGTAATCCTACAAAAACAACAGAAAGTGTTTTGCTCAAACCTTCTGAAAAGCAACATGCTGCTACAGTAGCAACTACGGTATGAGCCATTTATTTTAGCCAACAATGACTGGGAGCTCCTCATTTCCCTCTGACAGATGGAGGGGACCAACCATAAAGCAGGAGCAGAAATCATTAAGTCAGCCAAAGCCCTGCAGAGTTGTTTTAATTGTGTGCTCTGGAGCTGTAGGCATAGCTTACCTGATTGCCGCTATAACTAACTGCCTTCACAGAGACAGATGAGATCTTCTGTGGACATTTAGAGAGTGATTCGTGTTCAGAAGGTTCCTCGGGGAGAGATAGAGAGGCGAGGAATGAGGAGACAGTTCATCGCAGAGCGAGCAGATTGCACACTCTCCGCTGGAGAGAACCACGTCCAGCAGGAGAGAGGCTCGAGCACCTGGCTAATGCTTTCACGGCTCACAATTTACAGCAGGCCTGCCACTGGGTATGGTTAGCATTGTCAGTGTGACACCATACAGAGGTCTATGCCTATTGTCCCGACATTTCCATGTGTGGGTCAGACAGAGCACTCACTCAAAGCGTTAATCAATGGCCTTTCAACAGCTATGCTGCTGTGCCTGTGTATATCAATCTTTGAATAAAGCTGAGCAACAGAAGAACGTGAGGACACATACAAAGTGCTGGATTGCAAAGGGTGTGTTTGATGCACACACATTCATCTGTATGAGGAAATATACAAGTATCCACACATACAGGCACACACTCACAAAAGCCAGTGAGATGGGCACAAAGGCATAATTGTGCACAAACAAACATACAAACAGTTCAACTGATGTGTTGACAGGTTGGGCATGCGTTACCTTCCCTGTCTTATGCATAAAGGCATATCAAATTCTGTTACAGAAGATAGTCTGCCAAAACTCCCTACTTTGACTGACACACAAGCTAGTAAATCAATCCACTTAAAACAAGCTTTACTTTAAGCTTCCAGAGACTGCATTGTGCCAGGCAACTTTGCCACCAGACCTTAAAGCTTCACAGTCTGGCTAGGATCTCCTGAGCACTGCAGACACGTACCCACTGCAGCACAACATAATAGAAAGCAACTGTTAATGCTAGTACTCACTCATCATGGAAGATTTTTCAAAGCAGCCTCAGCTGGAGTGTTAATAAACCATGTTTATTTTTAATTATAAATGACTTCTTGGCCTCCTGCTAAGTCACAGTACAATCAGTACAGACAAACTCCACCCTGCCCTGGCCCAATAGAGCCGCTTATCGCATGTGTAACAAACAGTCATCTCAGAGCAGTATAGATTATGTTCCCCCATCCTGCATCTCTCTTTGCCAGTTTAACAGTCTAAACACTTAATCTTGTCAAAAGAGACTCTTAATAAACCCAGAGGGAAGCCCTGCTTTGCCCTCCAAGAGAAACAAATGTGGTTTACAGCAGTGATGATCTGCAGCATCTACCCCGAAAGCTCTAATGCATATTTATACTCAAAGCTCATTAATCAGTCATGCAAGGAAAAGAGAGCATGACAAAGACAGAGACATGGACTCAAAACTGGGGGCCACTTTACTGAGCGTTGACAACGAGGGAGCAATAATGCTCAGATAGTAATCGTTATTACAAGATAATAAATGCATGAGGAATAGTGACTTCATGGCTATTTGCAGCAGTTCAAGGTAGAATATATAATATATCAAGTGATTAAATATTAATCAAAGTATTACAGAAGCTGAATGGAAGATGTGACCACAGATGTAAATGTGTGTCAAGGTGTTCTTAAGATACCTTGCCCACTTCCTCCAGCCTTTTTCACCATCTCTCCCTGTCTGACGCTACAGACCTAAGCTGCTCTTTGATGTGTGAATTTACAGGCAGAGGCAGCTTTATCAACAGTTGTGTCAAGGACACGTACCTGTACTCCTCTTGGGTGAAGATTGGGATGCGTGAAGGCTGGAGGACAGTGATCTCCACCAAAGTACTGTTCGACTTCACTGGCTCCCCATCATCATAGGCTATCACAAACAACTGCATCGGGCAAGAGAACAAACATAAGCAACACACAAATACAAGCACAAACATTTTTTAACCATACTACTACTAACTACACAAATAATTCCCTTTTTGAGGTTGCCAGGCATTTTTTGTAGACATGTTCGGCATCCTAATAAAGACAGACTGGAAAAATAGGATCTGGCGAGTGGCCTGCAAAGCTCCCAGAGAGCGAGTATGAATGTATTGATCTACATACATAGACTGTGGAGAAAGGGGCCTGGGGGAAGCAGAGGGGCAAAGACAGAAAGAGAATAAACAAAGACATAATGTTTAAAGAAACAGAGAAAGGAAAATGCAGGAGGAAAGTGAAACAGATAGAGGAGGACAGACAACGTGTGAGGGTAAGCGGCAAATCCAGGACTTATGAACCTGGTCCATCGTTCACAACTAAAGATGTGCCAGATGTAAAGTCATCTTTAGTTGGTAAAAAAAAAAAAAAAACCTTTATGTGAGCACCTGGGAGGGAATTTGTTTAATCGATAGAAAAACTCAGTATCACTGGTCACAGACAACAAGAGAAGCAATGACATGATCATGGAGACAATGGAAGAAAATAATAATGCCCTAAAAATGCTCTTCGATTTTAAAAAAATCTATATGCACAAATATGAACCACTGATCTTCACTGCCACTTGTATCACGCTAAAACATGTGAAGCAGAACAATACACATCAACTATGACAAATAACTAGAGTCTTTGCAGTAAAACTATTATAATATTCTTGTATTTTTGATCAAGGATGTATTATCATCATCATCAATTATACTTATCATCATCACCACCGTCATTATTAAGTCAAAATGTCAAATGCTGAAAGCTAATACAAATATTTTGTACACACTGACTTGACATTTTTATTAAAAGCCAGCATAATTTAGTCGTACTTTATTAGCAGAGCAGAGCACTAAAGTCTCGCTTACGTTAGCTGATCGGCATCAGCGGTTTCATTCATGCTTCACAATCACTGACTCTTTCACAGCTGTGTGGCTATCAGCTGACTGCTCATTTTCAATAATAATTATGCAGGTGTACAGCACGGCTATTATTACTCAACACTTCTCATTATCAAACTAAGATTTCATGTTCATATATGGGTTTATTAAGGAGCTCCCTCAAAGAGCAGAGATCCCTTTCTGCCAAATCTAGCTGTTAAACCATTCACTACAATGAACAATTCCTGGACTTAATCTACGTGTCTCTAACTGGATAACAGAATAATGTGAATATCTTGGAAGCCACACGCTGACATTATAAGCAGCAGCAGCTTATCATGTTACCATAATCACTCCCATTCACCTTGAAAGTGACACTGGGCTCTTCATTGAGGTTGACCTTAGTGATGACTCTTCCAGTTTCCTCTTCCACATCAAAGATGCTCCCACTGTACGGTGACCTGTCCACGTCCACTCTATAGCGGACAAAACTAGCCGGAGTACCCTGGAGGAAGGAGAATGAAGAACATGAATCACATCAATCCACTTATTTGGACACCACCTTTCACATTTTCAAATGAGGATGCAGGGTGTCAAAGTAATCAGGTTATTTAAAATGTAAGCATAAGAATATGGCAATGTTATTTGCTTAGGAACACAACTATTATCGTCGTATTTGATGGTTCCTCTCCTCTTTTTGTAACCTGAAAAATTATCCTAATGTCTCACTCCGCTCATTAGACAGCTAATATAAACTCACTGTTATTCATTGATTCAGACCTCTTCCCTTTCATTTAGAATAAAATAAAAAATAAAAAATTCTCCATTAAACTCACCCTTCTAGTCTCCAGAGTAACACACTTAGATTCATTAGCAAGAGCCTGGACTTTAATATGACCCTTTGATTAAGATTAATCACAGCTCCTGATTACTAATCATCTCTATAGCTTATCTTATTCCAGTTTCATCCCTTTGGACCTCAAATTCAGTCTCATTTTTAATAAGCTTTTTGAAGATGTGCTCCCTTGTCTGAACTGATTTTGTTCCCCAGGGACGGGGTAAAACCTGGGGCTAGAGAGAGGTAAATCCTGTAGTAGCAGTGGATCCCCCGGGAGGCTTACTCACACAAATGTGTCTCTAAGAGGTTACAAAACTATCTGAGAGAATTCACTAAGGGGATTCTCACAAAAAGGGCCTCATCTCTAAAAGCTCCTCAACTTGTTTTCTAACATGTAATGGAAAAGATGTCAGGACAGGATCATTAATAAAAAAACACCTCCCAGAGAAGAATCTAATACAGAGGCAATACCTCTAAAGTGACAGCAGCATAGATGGTTAAAAGTGCTTTGCTCAAGGCTAAACATACAGTGCACTCTAGTTCTTGTATCATTAGTTTGCTTTTTGAAACCGATATGTCAAACTTAGCCCAAGAATATCCAGGCCATACAAAAGCCAACCAATAAAGAAAGTGAAATAATAAGAACATTTTCCTCCTCATAACACAATACTTTTCGAAGCTTTAGCTTGAATTTCAAAGTGATTGGTGTTTCCACATTTGGCAAAGTACTTTTTCTTACAACTCAGAGCGGCAAGACAGAAAGTTTAAAAATGAGTCAAGTGGTGAATGTATTACAGCCAGAGTAACATTTCAGTCTGTCTCTGACTACATACACTTTAAGTTCTACAACACCTTTTCTTGTCTGGCAATCGACTCAAAGCCAAGTAGTTTGGCATCAAAATAATTCTTCCTTATTACAACCTAGAGTAAGATTTTGCAAGAAGGATCATTTTCAAATGCATTTTTGTTTTGCTTGTATTTCTTTTATACAAATCCAATTCTCTTTAGTATGAAATATCCAGTTCATGAATTAAAAAACAAGTTCAGAAGCACTGAAAGATGCCTCAGAGACACACAACACAACAGCAAGGCTTGAGCTGAGAGTGTAAAGCAGCAAAGCTAACATGTTAAAACAACTTCATTTGCTAGGGTTGTGAAATGATTAATGCCTGATTTGATTTGAAAGTGGCTAGAAGGATGATACAATTCTGTATTTCATCACTGACATAGCACACTCAGCCACTGAAATCCTATAGCAAGCCAAGACAAATTACAAGATGCACTTTTTAATCTTAAATTAATTGAGAATGCTAATGTATACTAGAGCCGGACTTCTCTAGAGCGAGATATATTGTGGACCATAGTTTGTATATTACCACCCTGAATGGATGAACTATTGACAGGGTATTGGCATATAAATACCTTGGCATCTGGATGGATCTAGACCGTATGTTTAAATTTCACATTCATGTCAAGCTACGACAAAAAAAATGGATATCAGAAACAGAGCTTGTTTCCTATGTTCAGTGGAAAGTGGATAATTGAGTTTGTTTTCTAGTCAGTTGTGGAATTATGGTGAATGAAAAAAATGTGAAGGGGCAACACTTTCCCCAATTAATAAACACGGCAGAAGAAACTTTCTTTTTCAGTCACAAATAAAAGACTATAAATCTTGTTCAGAAGAAAAAAAGCTTCTTACTGCAACCTTTGTCTCCATGGTGATCTCCTCTCTCATTCAAGGTGTTATTAACATTGACATTATGGGGTTGAGTGGCACTGCCAAAAATACAGTCACTTTTTAAAAACCATTAGCATCACTTCTCCCAAAGCATGGGTGGATAGATATTATCCATCTTTCCAAAATGTACACATACAAATAATAATAGGAGGACTATTATAGCCTTCAGACAAAATATGCATGGCTCATGTTTGTAGCATCAAGGCGACAGGCCAGAGTGAGTCTCTTCCTCCCTTTCTTTCATTGTGTGTGCAGCTTTTTGTAAGCTTGTGTAATAGAGAGAGAGAATGTGTATGTGTGCACACATCTGTATGTGTATTTAGCAAGCACTAAACTAAGCTCTGTTCCATCAGAGGTGTCTATGACAGGCATCCTGTCAATAAAATGCTTTGAGCTCCCAAATCCAGGTCAATAAGAGACTGGGTTAGTCGACTCCTGTTAGGAAATCTAATCCCTCTGTCTGTCAAACCACTTTGCAGAGTCACTCCCAAGTCTCACGATTTGCTGCCATTGTGCTCATAGTAACATAATGATGGTTATTTGTGTTTGAGCAGTGCTTTTCTACTGTACCCGATAAGAAATGTTCAGGATAGAATCCTGTATGAGGGGAAAATGGCACATTCACATTAAAGAGAAGTTTTTAGAACTGAATAGACAGCAAAGTGGTGGTGGTGGTGGTGGGGGGGGCAGAAAAAGCAGGAGGAGGGAGAGTCTCTCTCTGAGAGGGGAAGTGAGATGTACAGCAGTCATTGTGCCTCTCCGGGGATGTTTTACCACCCACGGCTGGAATTGACAAGCATCCATATCCCTCAGCATTTATGTGCTGCAGAGTACACAAGCTAACCGAGTCCTGGTGAGATCCCACCAGCAGGAGGGACACTGACAACACCGAGCACCAAGTCCAGTCATACAGGAGTTTTCTGTTAAACATATTCAGAGCTGGAAGCTACCGGGACGAAGCAGGGATGTCACTGGGGGATTCATATTCCATTTTTTTTTTTTCAGTGAAAATGTGAAAAGAAACAGAAAAGTTGTAATGTGTTATAAGAGAAATGGCTGGTCTATATAAACTCACAAATAGAACGACGAGAAAGATAGAGAGGATGTGAGCAAGAAGACAGCTGACTCACCATGTGCACTAAAAGATTAAAGTGGGTGGCACTGCCAATAAAATAAGTTCAGCTGAGGTGAATGACGTGGGACATTCTCATTCTCAGGACTTGCACTATCCTAAAGATATACATTATGTTTGTGACAGACTCAAACCACAAAAATTCATGCGATGCCTCCCCACCGCAACTTTTTTTCCCCCATTGCTCCCATGTTGCCTCCTCTTAGTCATACAATTTCTAGTCTCAACAGGGTGTCACAATTTCTCTTCTGCATTGTGTAATTTTGGTCCTTCGTTTGCACATTCCCATAAAAAAGAAAAAAGAAAAAAGAAAAAGAAAAAAATCTTCACAGCCCCAGTCCCAGGAGAACCTGCTCAGATATGGTGAAGTAAAGGAGTCTGAGGAAACATATTGCTGTCTGAGGCAACTGGTAGATGACTCATGCAAGTGAAGATGCTAAACAAGATAACCCTTATAATAAATACACACAGCACTGTAGCTCTAATGAGAGCATCTGAGTCTTGAAAACATCTTTAACATGCATCGCGTCGCATGCTACAGCTGAAATTGACCGATGTTCTAAGAGCAACATGTAGTGAGGAGGTGAAAACCACGAGAGCTTTGATGTCTGCTACCTTTATTAAAAACACAACATGCTTCATGTGCTATAAAATCTAATCACCAATCTTGTACACATTGCATATATTAAATAAACATTTAAAAGACGCATTTTGTCTATACTCACTGGAGGGTCTTGGTCCTCAGCAAAAACAGTTGTGATGACTGTTCCTTTCTCTGCATTGGGTGCCACCATGCCCATATACAGGTCTTGGCTAAACACAGGGGAGAAGTCATTCATGTCCTGAAAACAAAAACAGATTTCATAAATGTAGGCATATCAGTTGTGAATTGGAGATATTTGTAACCGTGGCTGACTTCAGTGTCTTCTACTACTAATTTTGCTTATTCTGACTAATATTGGAGCAGTGCAGATTGTGCAGCTGCTGCTTTGTTTGATATCAGCTTCCAGGAAGTTATTGTGGATTCAGGCAAATTTTACCGCTGCAATAATTCAGCATGCCCCAGGCTTTGTCCTTGCACTTTAAGAACTGGGTGTCTGAGCTGAATGTGACTACATATAAACATAGACACAAAAAAAAGTGTATATTGAAGCAATACAAAAAAGTCCCCTTTTTCTAAGCCATATTTGTCATTAATCTGAACATTTAGTTAAATTGTGAAAACATTATAATACTGCTGCTGCTTGAAATGTACTTATTCAGAATCAATGCATTTTTCTTTGTGTTTTGTTTATCTTGATAAACATACACATTCCACTCCAAAGTACCTGCTGGTGGGAGGTAGGCAGATGAGCTTATTGTCACTGCCAAATAAGATGACAGAAATAAATTGCTGCTCATTGTGTTAAGGCTCCGAATGGTTATTTAAAAACAAAAAACAAAAACAAATTAAATTCTCTGAAAATATCTCCTAAGAAATCTCAAGGTTGAGGTTTCTGACTTACTTCAATCTACAGTTAGACGCTTAATAATAGTATTTTCAGTGTGACTTTGTTGGCTGGACCTTTGGAAAACTAGTGTTTGACTGTCCCACATGTCCCATTTCTTGAACCAAATAATAAACATGCTGACACAAACAATCACAAAAGCAACGTCAAGACTTCTGCAACATCAAACTTAATAAGAGGGCTGACCGGTTACTATAAAACAAATCTGGCATATGACACTGGTCCTTACCGCCACACGACAACAAGACTATGATAATCTAATCTCTTCCCTACATTAATCCCCCTTAAATCGATGACGCCGCTCTGTTGGGATTAAGTAATATCATGTTCCCAATGCTTCCCGCATGTGGGAACTTAAACTTGCTTTTAATCACCTTCTCACTGTAAATAATGCACAGCAGAGCCTCGCCATCCTATGGGTCTGCGAAGAAATGAAATCTTGTTAACTGTGCAACCCTTGCTTCGCTTTGTGAGAATGCAAACTCAGTAAGCCATTCACATATCTCTCAGGAATAGTTTAGCTCTGTAGTATAACTGCTGAAGCCTGATCTTCCATTCTCTTGACTTTTCTCTTTACTTTCCACTGTTTTGACTGAGCCACGGGCAACAGTATGTGTTCTATAAACCCAGTGGTGGAGGGCAGCATCCCTTTGATCTATACACAGGTTTAGTGTTTCCTAGCAGAAAATCTATGATCCAGTTCTTACTTTGAACAACAAAGCCTGATCCTTGTGCTGCAAGTGTTCACAAGATGCATGCACAGACACACTTGTGTTTGCGTGAAACATGGGCACACATACAATACTGTTTCTCCATCCGTGCACACAAACACACAGACAACACACACTGAGAGGGTGTCTGTCTTTCATTTCTGAAGTACAAGAATAGAAGGAAAAGTTTGGGAGACTCATTCAGAACAACAAGACACGCAGGACACTCAATCCATCACTGCAAGGCATCCGACGAAAGAGACAGCAACAAAACAATACAAGGGGAAATCAAACACAAGCAACTTCAAATAACCCTCTGGAGGTGTTATATGAGGAAGGAAGCGGAATCATTGGAATCAGCTCCATCTCTAGTCCCAGAGAAGCCTGCATGAATCCATTAGGCTCATTCTAATTCATGTCTGCCATTTCAAATAACAGACATTGGTTTGATATCAGTGGCTGTGCGATGCCTTATCGTATCAAACACAGTTCCGGGTTGACAGCACGAACTATGCAACAAAGCATGTCCTTATCGGAGGACAAACTCACTCTACAGGTTGGCAGAGCATGCAGCGAGCCTGCGAGCCTGCCTAAGTAAGCTTAAGTGCTTCCTCCCATTCTGTGTAATATAGAGAGCTTAATTCTGCAGACTTTAAGACCGTCACTAGGGCTGGACTGAATTCATACACAGAGATAAATGTGAATGCACAGATTTTGAAGCACAAAATTACTAAAAAGACACACAAACAGTCACACACACGCACATCAATAGTATCACAACACAAGGCGTCTAATCCTTTCGTTGGGATTCAGCTGTTAATCTCTTGAAAGGTTATAAAGGGAATACAGGCTCCTGAAAAACCTGACATAATTGCTGTCACAAAGCTAATGAGTCATTCGGATCTGGAACGGCACTGTGTGCACGGCAGAAACATCTATCCATCAAATTGTCTTTGTCCCAGTGATGTTACCAGGACAAGCGGGTCGGGAGGCCAAAACGTGTTTTACAAAGGAAGTGCATTCAGCTTTTGTGCTGCATAGTGCTGAATTTCATATCACAAAAGCAGCGCAGGTGCAATACTGTACAATAAGCCCACAATCCCATTTTGGACTGTGGATTATATGAGCTATTACTATTGTAAAACTCTGCTAATGACTCACAAAACATTCACTGCCATTGCTGCAGCTCCTGAGGGACAATGAGGATAGATGGAAGGAGAATAGACCATTCAGAGGCTGTGGTGGACTGATCATCCGGGGGGCTCTTACCGTGATGTGGACTGTGACGGTAGCTTGCCCTGGGGGCATGATTCCACCTTGGTCGACAGCTTCCACCTGGAAAGTGTGAGAGGCCCCCATGCCCATAGCTGCCAGGTCCTCAAAGTCCAGGGTCTGCAGCACAGCTAACTCCCCTGTGACAGGGTTCAGAGAAAACAGCTGTCTGGCCGATTCCGTCTTGATCCGATATGTGACATTGGAGAAGAGGTCTGAGTCCACCGCCTAGGAGAAGGAAGAGTAAAAGGATGAGTAAGGGAAACATATTACAGTACATTAAAGACAACAGAGCACATATGTAAAGAAAAAGTGGGGTGACAGAAGAAGAGAGGAACAGCCACATATATTTTCAAAATGATACATATAATAGATATAAGCAGTGTGGCTGTGGACAATGAATATTAATGTTTCTTTTTTAAATTGTGTGTTTTTATGCTGCGGGGGTTACTTACATCAATCATTAATAGATTCTGATTGAATGAAACCACTAAGGAAAGCTTAAGTTGGTCCTCATTGCATAAAATCACAACTGATCACAATGATCATTTGTAAAGGTCACTGCAATAGGATATGATTAGGTATATGGATGCTGAAACAGATTGTGAGGCACACACATGGATATCATATCTATTGATAAATACTATCTCACATTTGCTCTTTAGGTGTCTTGCCAGCCACCCCCATCCGTTTAGAGTTGAGGTGACGTTGTCTAGGAGATTAATGGTGTCACAGTGCCACTGTCACTCACACCCCTCACCCTCAACCCTCACCCCCCTGCTTCTCACCCTCCCCTCTTGCTTTATCCCACTCTGGGAAATGTCACTCACAATATGCCAGCAATTACTCGCCCCTCCGCTCTGTGTCTGCGCTTCATGCACATAGTTTCCCTATATTTCACTTCAGTGCAAACATGTGCACTGATGGAAACAATGATCCTCTACTAAAGCCTAGTTATGCCTTGAAAAATCCAGCATTAAGTCTTATTCTGTGTCTAAAAGTACCGAAATAGCTGTCATGACAGGAGAATTTTTTTTTCTTTCTGCTGTGTATATAAGGAAGTGTATGTTTCTGTCTGTGTAAATGTTTCCGTCTGGGAGCATTTGACATTTTAAACACTAAATTGCTTGCACTTGAAGTTGAAAGATGCTAAAAGTCTGTTACTACAACTCTTGTTTTAGGCACCCGTGCTGCATTACATAAAAAGACAGAAGGCATATAGGGATGGAGAGAGCGAAAGAGCGAAAACGACCAGTTAACACGTGCACGTAAGTACTTACGCTTAGCTTCAGGACCAGAGTTCCCACAGGGCTGTTCTCAGGTACATTCACCACATAAGTTTCCTGGGAGAAGACTGGGCTGTTGTCATTGATATCTGTGACCAGGACAGAGAGGGTCAAGGTGGTCCTCCGTGGATCCACTGCCCCATCTGAGGCCTCTACCACCAGGTCATATTGGCCCCTAAGCTCCCGGTCAAGGGGCACTCTTGTGTAGATGCTGCCGTTAGCACTGATAAGAAACAAGTCCGGATGATTCACAATCCGGTAGCGCACCTCGCCATTAGCCCCTGCATCTGGATCTGTGGCCTGGGGAGATAGAAAGTGATCACATGGCTCCATTAAAGGTATACGTATAAATGTCTGACACTCGTGGTTTTTGCTGATGTAGTTTTCAAACAATCACCATTAAATGTTGCCAAGCTCCTAAAGCAGGTAAGTGAACTACATTGACCATAATTCACCATAATGCACTAGCATATCTGCACTTTGTTCGAGTAGTGGTCTGTCCCAACACAAACTGAACAGAGAGACAGCGTAAAATACACCTTGGATAAACAGATCGAAGCATAATAGTCAGCTAATGTTGCGATCGCTGTTATCTTACAGTGGACTGAGAGACGTACGCTGTAGAAAATGTGAGCTAGTGGGACCGCTGAATGAAACATCAGTAACAAATCATCAATAAACTCCCTTTCCCTTCTGATGCTACTGAAGTAAACTGACAACCTGTGGGAAACATTGAGAATCCATTTACATATATCATTAATAGCAGAGAGAGGTAAATATTCACCAATACACAGCATATGAATGACTGCAGAAAATGCAGAGGAGATTTCCCTTTAGGCAAACAGCAGCTGTTGTGACTTTGATGTGATCCATTACTTGATCCATTAGAGCCTGGCTTTATTTTAGCTCCTTACATGTTTACAGAGGCTTCAAGTACAAAAGCCACGTAAGCTGCAGTGCTGCAATCGAGCCTAAACAACCCTTGTACGTTTGAGTCTCATTTCCTATTCTCCATATCAAGGTTAGAGTCACAGACTTATAAGCAATCATTTGTGGCTTCAAAAGGCCAGAACCCTTTTATATGCAAACTTTGCACTCAATCAGAAGAAAATCCTTGAATTCTCAATTGCCCTTTAAATATCATATATGTGTTTATTTAAATAAAAATTAGTAAAATAAAAACTGAGAAAACACTTTATCTGTCTGACTGGTAAAAATTTCTCCAAAAAAAAGGCATATGAGGAACAGTGGATGAGGGAGGAGAATACACATAAACATATGGTTGTTAAAAGCTGTACCCAATTAGTTTTACATGGAGTGCCTGACAAATATTCAAAGCCAAGGCTAAAAATTGGACCTCAGCATTAAGCCTTTGCAAAATCGAGTAAAGCACATCATGTCAATATGTGCATACGGATCACTATTTCTCTGCAGTGATTACATAACAAACATTCTCACTGCTCCTTGCCTTTGGAGAGGTGTTATCCAATTAGTTCACTGCCAATAAAAATAAATAACAAATTTGCATATTTCTTTAGCCTCCTAGTACTGTACATATTATAGAGGTCTGTGCAGGGCAGGTCAGTCCACAGGTTTACAGCAGATATTGGCAGACATGAGGAACATGGATGGTCATGTTGTAATGCCTGGCTATGTAAATGCTTTTGGTTTGTATGTACCATAATTCACAAATTATTATTACCAAATAATTTGGCTATTTTCAGACTATTCTGATTTAGTGTCTAAATCATAGCTCTGGCCTACTTTAGACTGTATCAGCATGTATAGGAAGTTTTGCATTACAGTGATGGTAACTGGCACAGACCTTGGATTGTGAGCTGGTGAGCATTGTGGGAGCGGCAGAACATCCAGCAGGTGCGAGTGGTTGCAGCACACAAAGTAGCTTGAGCTACAGGCCCATGCAGACCATCTAATATGCAGTACCTGAGAAATGTGCCTCCTTTGTGCGCTGTCGGCCTGGGTCCAGTGTTTTTTTTTTTCTTTTTGCATTTACAAAAAGAGCATATTCATCTTGCTCTGGATGATTAATGCTGAAACCTAAAATTGAATTGCCCACTTATATTGTCTCACTACACACTGGGCACAGTATTTTCAAACAGAAAGTTAAGCACTGATGTCAGCCTCTCAAAAACAAAACAAAAAAAAAAATGTGATAACGTGATAACTGTTTAACAAGTAAAAAGCACCATAGCAGTGCTTGCAAGTGTCTTCAGTTAGGAGCAGGATCTCATTATATCAAGGAATCAGCTTGGCAAGAAAGAAAGGAATTATGTTACACAGCCTCTCCAATTAGCAACAATTCTACATTACGATTCCATGATGTGTCTGACACGAATGCTAATCGATTTGTCTTCCGGTCATCTGCATGCTCAGATTATGGCTCCCTGCTGTGAGCAAACAGAATGGGCTTGTATTGTGCAGGATTTGTCAGTCACAGAACAAATGATTATATTAGCACAACCGGCAATGCTGTCAATTGTGATAACCTAGTAAATCTTCTCCGGTCTATGTGAGTGTGTATAAAATAAGAACAGGTGGGAACCAGTTCCAATTACTGTAACAATAATCCAAAATGCTTTAGGACTAGCATTAAGCTACTTAATAGTATTATGCAGTCATCTTCACCATTGGCAAGTGCCTGAGGCCTTGTGGTTGGCTGCATTATTACTCCTTCTCTGCAGGTAAATTCAAAACGCTACAGGAAAAGATTAACTGATTTTACAGTAACACATTACATTTAAATGTGGAATTATTGAGCAAATAGTAGCTTAAGTCAAGCTGTCTTTATCTCATCCCTTACTTCATCTGTCACTTGACTTTTATTTAGTGTGCCATGTTACAGTGGGCTATAGGCTGCTGTTCTGACAGGGTCAACATTTGCTCAATAATGTTCTAATGCACTTGCACACAAAGCTCTTAAAAGAAAATCCACATCACAAGATGTTATTCAGACCTGCGGAAAGAGAGCTGGCAGTTACAGAACATTTGTCAGCCTATCAGGATGGGTGATGAAACACAGAGTAATACTTAAGTGTTATACGTTAAGTGATGATGCTCTGGCTCCACAACTTTTTGCTTTTCCCTTTTTCTCTATCACCATTGGTACATGGACGACGTGGAAGTTGTCAATGTCAGGTGTCCCCCTAAGAGTACAAACTCGACAGATCTGAGCAGCAGCATTTCTTCCCCTGCTTAAGTTTTACCTTACCTTTAACCAACTATTATTGGTTAAAAAAACATTCAACATTTGGTCTTCCTTCTGTGTTGCAACCTTGGATTGCAGATATTGTTAAATAAAAAAAATACCAAAAGTTTATCCCCATGAATTTCTACCTTTTATCCCTCTTGGCTGCCTGTGTGCCTTGTGCATGACTTTATGAAGCTAACTGAGAGTTAAGACAATGTAAAAAAAAAAAGGGCTTTTCATACACATTATATACAGCGATTGGCACTTAGAATTTAAATGCCACATGTCTTTGACGCAGAAATTGGGTAATTTATTAACTAAGAACCCAAAGCTACTCTAGAGTATAAATAGTCTGTCTCCCTTGCACCTTAACAATTGTGTTATTTACATTACAGCCCGGGTGATTTTTTTATTTTGAAGCCACCTGAATGGTATGGTCTCTTTAAATACTGTGCAATGAGCACACTCTCTCAAAATGCAAGTATGAATCCTTGCATGAAAAATATATCTCCACCATAAAAGGATTAAGCTAACGATAAATAAAGCTCTAACAGGGATACTAGCAGGAGACAGTGGAGACAGAGATAGCATGTGTATGTTGTATTTTAATGGCATTGTGGTTCTAGTCTACTCTGTATATAGTTGCCTTCAATTGAGATAACTGTGTTCAGCATCCAACATGTCATACAATTTTAAAAGTCAAGGTTATTCTGATTTAATTAACTAAGGCATACCCTTTTCTATAGCACTTTATAAACTGAGGCAACTCAAAGTGCTTTACAAAGGGAATAAACAACATTTGAATCATTTAACATGACTATTAAAGGGAACATATATTTGAATAGAAACATTTTAATAAAGATAAATGGAATTCTAAAAAAACTGTACAGTTGTAGAACAGCTTCAATGTAATTAAATCAATAATACAAAGGTAGAAGAAAATACAGTTTCTAATTGAGATTTGAAAGTAGAAAAAGTTGGGGAGAATTTAAGAATATCAGGTTTTTATTTGTGCACTTCAGCTTCACCGCATGTGTTTCTGACTCTTGGCATTACAAGATAACTGCCAACTAAAGAATAAGAGTTTATATTCTTCGAACATATCAGAACTCTATAAAATCTAAGACTACCTGTTAGCCAGTGTAAAGATTTAAGAGTAGGCATTATGTGGTCAGTTCTCCTAGTTCTTGTTCAAACTCTAGCAGTTTAATGGTTTAATGGTTTTTGGTTTTTGGAAAGACCAGATAACTACATACACATCCACTTGTTTACTTGCTCTAAACACTGACAGTAAATGAATAATAAGCATAGTCTTTTGGTGAAAGAGCTAAATAAATCTGGGTGTCATCTGCGTAGGTATGGCACGTAATCTCGATTGAAGGATCTTCATGTTCACTAATTGACTACAAAATGTATGTGTTTGAGAGATTGTGCTTATTTCTTGAGATTTTATGACTACGGCATTGAAAAGAAAAAAAAAAGGCTCCATCCCTTTTTGATCAGCTACAACAGGCTAAGCTGTAGCATCTCTATGTGCATATGCATGGAGAGCAGGATTGTGTTGAGCTAAGTACTTTAATGTACTTTTCTTTCAGTCAGAAAGGCAAGCTTCAGCTTAAGTTGGCAAGGTGCCAACTGAGAAAACCTTCTGAGGCAGGACAGAGAGAGAAGCGATGGGGTGGGCTAAGCCCAAAATCTGGCTGCGGGCTGCATTTGTGAGGAAACACTTGGGAATGCGACTGAAGGTAGCTTAACCTGCAAACACCAAGCTTCCTTCATATGTCCTTTTGTCTTATTTCACAGTTCATAAACCTGCAACATTTTCTGGTAGTCCATTTTATTACCCCCTGAAAAATGTAATGGGATGCCTAATGTTAAAACTATATATCTTGAAAGGTGAAAAAAATGACTGATATAAGAGGGCCTGTTTATCCTTGGTAAAATGTTTGTGTAAGTAATTATAGGGAAATTTAATGGCACAGAAACCAATACTCTATTCAAAATGTACTTGGTGACTGCCTGAAGTGATCACACAAATATTAATATTTTACATTTTTAATTGATAAAGTTTAATGCCACAAACACTTCTGTATCCACTTAAAATTAAGATATTTTACATACAGATAGTGTTGTGACATTACAAACTAAAGTGTAGGGCTATATCTTGTACAAGGTACACTAATGTGTCAACCAGAATAACACAAGAATTACCTCATGCACATTGATTAGGTTAGATTGTTAATTATCAAACTAATTACATGCATTTATTATCAAACTTCTCTCTTAATAATTATCACAGTGTGGACCATAATTATTCCATTTAAATTTTCTGATAAATAAACCTGCATCAAAGAGCAGTTGCTCAGACCAAAGTCTTTTTATAACATAAAGATACAGTCTGATTTTGTAATACCACCCAAAGTTTCTCCCGGTTCACTGTTTTGAAACTACGCAGAACTGTATTGAGTTTCTAGACAGCAAGTTTTGAGAAAATTTGGCAGAGCTATTATAAATCAGGAAGTTAATCTGTAGGAGAAACAGAGGCAATAAAAAACCAAGACCCCTGGATTGTATTGCTTAATTTGCCACGTTGTAAGCATGTACTGTATGTGCATACTCACAGAGGATGTCTCCTGTCATTACTTCATGATTAATCCACTGACAAACATCAGGCCAATTAATCTACAGTAATTAGAAAAGTCTGGCTGCTCAGTGGTGCTGAACCAAGCCAGTCAACAGGGATGCAGCTCTGATGGACAAATCTGTCCAACAAAATCAACCATGTTGTAAGAGGCTAGATCATTTTTTAATGGAGTTAATTTTTTAAGAACTAAGGTACATTTGTGACTTAGCGGTCAGTAGAATTTCTGAGGAAACAACATGTGGATATGCAACAGTGAAAAAAACAAATGTGATTTACTGTGGATGGCTGAAAAGGAGGGAAATGTGGAAGTTGGTGAAACAGCAGCTTATTGATTTCAAAAGAACAAGACCACCTGTCTTAAATAAATGTCACACTTACCCTGACTTGTCCTACAAACAAATTGGCCTCTTCTTCTTGGACAGTGAAGTTAGTAGGTACGGTGAGGTCAAACTTAGGATCGTTATCGTTGACATCAGTGACGACTATGTTCACAGTGGCAGTGGATGTCTAGAGGAGAAAAATTCAAAGAGCACAATAAATACCAGTGTTATTCAGTGTTCCGTTAAAACAGTACAAACAAAAGGTGTAATTTAAAAAAAGATGACTAGCGTGCTGTGAAGAAAGCACAGATTAGCGGCTTTAATGATGCAAAAAATAGTACCCAACATTTCTTTCATTACTGGTTAGCAAAAGACACAGTAGAATAGTAGTCATACATGAGTAGACAATATTAATGGGAAAAAAGAAACAAGGTCCAAGTGCTAAACTGTTATTGCTGTCAGACACTTCCTTCTCAGGAGAGAACTGGCATTTACAGACAAAATTTGTACATTTCGGAAAAGACGACACAGATTCTAGAGAGCAGTGAAAATATCATTAACCATCTAAGTAAATTGAATGCAAATATATTATCGCTTGAGTGAGGGAGTTAGGAGGTATTGCCAACTAAGCAAAGCAGGGTTTTCCAAGGACAACGGTTAGCAGTGGTAAACTGTAGTACATTTCACATGAGGCGGCAGACTTCTGCAATAATATGCTGCAACAAACCCTGTGATTTGCACTATTAGACTCACAAATGATTCCTAGTTTAGGGAAATGTCAAAAAGCATCCCATTACATAAACAGCCGAATCATTTGAAACAACTGCTCTACCATAAATGTTAACAAAACGCATTTTCATATGTCAGGTTTTTGGTCAAACTACTGTAATGTTTTTCATCGAGGAAAGAAAAAAAACCTAAGACATCTCATAGAACTTTCCAGTCATATTTATTAACATCTGAAAACTGCAGATTTACAGTTAGTTAGGAAAGCTGGCATAGTTTATTCTTATTTTAGTCAGATCCAAGTTTTTCTTCTTGCACAGGTAAAAAATACTGCAAACACTCGGGAAACTCTGCTCTCATAAAAAGTCTTAGTCTCAGTGGTTAGTCTCAGCCAATGATTTTGTCAGCCAACATGATAACTATAGATGTTAAAGCTTTTGTTGGGATTTCACCTCATGGGAATTAGATCAGATACAGACTACGAAAAAAAAGAGACTTAAACAAATAGTGTTTTAAGAATGATTTTTTAGCCACACAAACTGTAGGGCTTTAGTGATAGTTTATCAGTCTGTTAGCCAGTCCGCCGCTATGGTCCTAGCTGAAATATCTTGACAACTATTGGATGGATTGCCATGAAATTCTGTGCAGATGTACATAGTCTTAAAAGGATGAATTGTAACAACTTTGGTGGTCCCCTGACTTTTCATCCAGCATCATCATCAGGTTGACATCCAATACCTATCCTGCTCCTACTTATAACCTCACAGAGGTCTTAGTCTTGTTAGAATACAAATTATTACTGATAAAATGAATTAAATGTAAGGATGAATACAGTCATGTTCATGTATACACATGCACACATACATCCATGATTTGTTGAGAAATGTGTGGAATTGCCGGTTCTAGTGCTACCTATTAGTACAGCGTGGCTGTGGCTGACAACAAATAAATAAATAAATAATCTTTTTAATATGAATAAACCTGCCTCTTGCATGACCTGTCCATAATTAAATGGGGTAGGCAACATTTCGAATGCCTAAGATTTTAAGAGGTGGCACGCAAAACGCTTGAGAAACACTGGTATAAGTGATATTATGTGGAATTTGAATGCCAACACTAATGCTTTGTTTGCAGAATACTTATATTCATAGTGTTCTCTGTCTTTCGGAATTCAAGGTGTTTTTACCTTCTGCGTTCTTTTTGGGACAGATTTATTTACAGTAATTATTAAGAGCGAACACTACAAGGTTGTGGGTGGCCCATTATCTCGGGCATTAAAGCAAGGAATCCGATCAATCACATCTTCCTTCCTCTAATTAGCCTATACACTTTCACTGTAAGAGTAAAGGTTCAAGGATGCAGAATTCAGTTACAAATTTATACCAACACTGGGACTCTTTATGACATTACAGGATGTCATAGTTGCTTTCCTCATGTTTACATTATGTTTATACGTGGTTTATATAATGTTTATTGATGTGGGTTTATCTGATCCCAAAGCTCATTCAGCAAAGTAAATTCCCCTTAGCTTCATTTAAGGTGTTCATTCATTTGCAGGGCCAATATGTACTAATGTAACATCCATTAACCTTCAAACAATGACACACCTACAGCACTCCTATAAATCAACATAGAAAAATGGCTGAATGTGCACAATCCATATACTCTCAGTGCACTGGGACAAAGCTATATGCAAATAATGGTGTAAATGGACTCCTTTGGGGTAGGAAGGATGGGTAGGTTGTGGGAGGAGTTGGCCTTTGCAAGAAAAAAATACTTCCCAAGAGATAGCTGTTTGAAGTTACCCTGGCAGATGAGACATTCAGCAGCACATGTCACAAAAGAAATGGCCTAGTTAGTGTCACCTTCATCTCACTGTCTGTTGGGAATTCCTTCACCATTGTTGTTTCCTTTGTTCTATCTTCTGAGACGTACATAATCAGTCCTTTCGAGTACAAATTGACATGGCAACCCATGCTGAAAACCATCACACTCAATGCCTCTTTTGCTCTTTTACTACTAAAACTAAGAGGACGCCACTCACCATCAGCATGATGATGGAATCTACTTATTTCTCATTTCACAGAAGACCTGAAGCCAATTAGCATCTCCATCCTAGCGTGGGTGTTCTTATCAAAGCTAAAAATCCTACCTCTACGGCCATGAGTGTGATTAATGAGCTGCTATTATTTATTTAACATATAATAGATAGAGCTGTGTGATGTCTCGCCTCCTGTCCTCACTGTCTGAAAGATCCAGAAGTAACTGATGGTGTTTTCCCTTTCATGTGACAACCCTGACCAGAAGCCATGTTGCAGGGACTGATATGATCAGGCTGTTAGGAGTCATGTACTCTCTCCTCAGAGGGCAGAAGAATACCTTTATCCAGCATCACTGGATGAGTTTTTTGTATCTGACTGTGCTTGGTGGTTATGATTACAGCTTGCACTGTTGAGGATATACATTTTGAATTGGTCACACAGATTAGCACAATTTATTTTGGACAGTAATAGATATTAGATTTAAACTCAACAAGTAAAAAAAAAAAATTGTGTGTGTGCAGATTTGACTACTCAAAGAGAAGTAGAACCAGGGGGGCTTGCTTCACTCCTTGTGTCAGGTTCCCATGGTTACCAAAGTTCTGTGCTAATTACACATCCGAATCCCTTGTGTCCCCCTTCTTTCCTCTCTCGTTTTCTCCTTTCTGTCCCCTCCAACTGTGCTTATTTTGATCCTTTCCCTGTCTCCAGCCTTCCTTGTGGTACTTTGTCTCACTGAATGAGTTCCTCACATCCACCCTCCTGCAGCCCTTTACCCCTCTGCCTCCTCATTTCAACTTCCTTGCTGTTTTGACAGCATTACTTCCTAGCTGTGACATTTAGCACACACGAGTCAGCCAGTAATTCACTCTATGGACAAGACATTTTGCGTACACACACACAAACACACACACCCACACACACACACACACACACACTACACAGGTAAAGGGTGTCAGTTTGAACAATCTGTCCATCAGTGTTAGGACAAAGAGCACCAGCATGTGGTTACCTCATTCTGTGAGGTGAAGTCCTACCTTACACTCTCCTTATTTATTTGCTTTTTTTCTCTCTGACCCTGTCACTGTCCATCTCCTCTGCCTCTGTCGCTAACTGTTTGACTCTGTTCACCATTTGCGCTCCAACAGCTCTGAAGCACTCACAAATGCGGGGACACACTGGCAGCAACATATGCCCCTTATACAGCTCCACTTGACCAACATACGTAGTCTGCCAACAGATGAAAAGGAGCTGTAGATCTGACTCTTTATGCGTGCCCAGGTGAGAGGGGGGCAATCAACATCACTACTGTGACAGCTCATCAGCTAATGTTCATTACCCTATCACACACAGCATCTTAAAAAGGAAACCACATTTCACCTCTGTCTGGATCAGAGACAGCTGCAAAAGCTGAGCCAACTGAGGTGAAGTCTAATTAAATTAAGACGGTTTATATGATTATCAGCTCTCAGTGGGAGCTGGAGCAGTCAGCATTCACTTTCAGTTATAGTGTCTGCTGTTTCTCTAGGCTAAGTTACAGAGACAGTTCAGTGAATGTAAATACTCAAAAGACACAACAACTCGTGATGATGTCGTATGAGCAGTTTTCTAAAGGGGAACTCCACCAGTTTTGCAATTAAAGATCATTTTACTAGTAAGTACAACTCAGCTGAAAATATTTGTATAATCTCCTCTGTAGCTCTGAACAAAGAGGTTTGTCGAGTTTGAGAAAATAACTCTGATGATGTAACAGTGATGACACAGTTTGGGTTACTACACAATTATAAAACAAGTTTTAAAAAGGTGGGCGTTTACTAGACGGGGATGGTCTAATTAAAAGATGCTATCAGTTGCATCATATGTGGGATCCAGTGTTTTTGGAGCTCGACTCATATTAGGAACTGAAAGTCTGGATGCCTCAACCTCTGCTGCTTCCATCTTGACCATTGCTTTTTACACACAAGACAGTCCACATGAAATGGAAATCAGAGTGCTATTTGCTTTTGCAAATTTAGGTTATTCCTGTAAAAAAAAGGCGGCTAGGAAGGGACTTGTGTGTTACGTCCTCCAGTCTAACAGGTGTAGTGGACCCATCGGCTGACTCTGCTGGGACTGGGAGCTATCAGTTAACAGCACAGTCATAATATCATTGGCTGAAATCGGTTAGTGTTAGTAATCGAAAAATGATTGGATTTTGATAGAAAAATACAATGGAATTACGTTTTTGTTATCTGTTGGCATACATTGTTAAATAGGGGTACACTATAATTGAGGATGCAATCTTAAAGGGTTAAAATGTCAGTTTTCATTTTACCTGAACTTTGAACTCATGCATGTTGGATACAATGTTACAACCCTTTGGCCATTTAAAAAAACACACAGCTGTTCAACATCTGTAGAGCAAAACTGCTTTGGTAGCTCAGACTTGCTGTAGGTAAAATAAACACCAACAAAACATACTTCTGTCAGATGTCAATTTTTACAGCAGGTGTAAGCATCCATTTGCACTACAAACAGTGATAGAAGAAGCCCTAAGCAAGGACCTGCTGAATTTCTATTAGCCCTTGCACAATTATATTCACAGCATTCCTTTTTTCAATGGCTGGTGAAGAACTCCTATTAAGCAACTAAACAGGTTACCAACGTCACAAAATTATAATTTCCAAAAGCAATTTATGGCCTTATAGGTGCAGGCAGCCCTTATTATTCTGGTGTCACATTGGTTTGCTACAATGAAGTGGCACTACTGACTCCTAGTACTACCACAAATTTGATGAATCTGTGACAAAACCACAGGGTATTAAACTCTGAGTCCAAATGCACTATTAGATTTTCCAGGCTAATGAAACACTTGGGTTCAGTGAGCCAAATTTCTGAGCTAATAAGCTTGTATAAAAAAGATCTTATTTGAGCTTAATGTGTTCAAAATGTTTGAGGATTGTCCACCCCGAGGAATCAGGCCAATAATTTACTTAAGAGGGTTGTGCCTTACCCCTCCAGGGTTGCCGTCAGAGGCTGTGACAATCAGACGGTACTGATCTGTGGTCTCTCTGTCCAGAGGCTTTCCCAGAAGTAGAAGGCCAATCCTGCAGAGAGGGGTCAGAGAAGACACCTGTATTACTATTACACACAAACAACTAGAGACATCAATACAACAACCTCACAAGAAGGGAACACAAAATTGGGCTTTTTGTAGACATTGCATCGCATTGCTTCTTTATGTCACATAAACAACAATAGTTTTCAATACTTTATAGCTGATGCAATAGAGGGTGGCAGAGAAGGCTGCACTTTGGAGTTTATTTGCTTCCAGATTAGACAGATTTATAAAACATGGTCGATGATAGAGGAGGATGAGTTTGGGGAGAAGAGCAGGTGGGTTTTTAAATGCTCCCACTCTGTCTTTCTCTCTCCATAGCCCGCCTCTTGCTCCCAAAGCACATGGACTAGAGACAGAAAGATTCATGTTTTCTTTCCAATGACTGCAGCAGACACAGCGGCCCTCCTGCTCGTTCACAAGGTATAATTTGGCACTCTGGCATTCCAAACACAAAGTGTGGATGCATTCCCAAGCAGAACACTGAATTATCTTTGTTTGCACACACAGGCACACAAGACACGTGAGTGCAAGTGGACACACACACACACACACACACACACACACACACACACACACAAACACACATACACAAACACCTACACAAACACACACACCATGCACAAAACAATTTCACAGCCACACTCAGGAGAGTCTCTGCCAGAACCGCAAATGGAAGGAAAGACGAATGCATCTGAACGCACTGCTAGATTAATGCCCGTTGCAATTCCCTGCTGTCCCCTTGCACCTTCACATTTCTAATTTAAAGCTACTTTGGCCAAACAGTCCAAGCAGAACCGGACCGCTACTTCTTTCCTGCCTCTCCGGCCCATAACCGTCAAACTATAGAGCCACATCTTTAAATCTGACAGGCGTGTTACCGAAACCTCGATTGACCTTGTCTATTTCTCTACGCACTTCCCCCCCAGGTTACGGTGAACACGTTGCTTTGAATCCAATACACCTGATGACCGCTGGTTCAAGAGGGCAAACACAGCTTGCTAAAAATGCCATAAAAATGCAGCACCATCCTTCAGTGGCTGCTGCGCTCATGTTTATTTATACTTAAGCACAAGAGTAGAAAATAATATTCTCTGTGCTCAATGAAGCTAAAGACGTACAGTAAGCTTTGATGTGAATATGATAATGAAGATATACAGTGATAATTGTGATGATATTATGGTGATGATGACAAAGATCAGAATGATTAATGCTACTTAGCCTGCCTGGTGAGTTTATTCCCTACTACAGCTGGAGGGCTGAACCACACTCGAGCGGTTGGGTCTGAGAGGTTCACTGATCATCTGTGATAGCGTCCTGCCTCCTCTCCCCAGTCACCACAAATGAAAAGATGTTGTCAGACTGACTAGATGCTGTTAACAGCACAGTACAGAGTGACAATGGTGCAGGTTAGAGGCTATCCATCCCAGTCTGTTGATCTTTTATTCTGCTCAGATCGTGTCTCTATCTGGTAATAGGACTTGATGTACAGGATGTTAGTTTGAAGTGGCATGGATGTTTTATTTCAGATACAATAACTTTGATAGGATAACTCTCACTTAAGATAAACTTTAGTGATTCCCCAAGGAGAAATTAATGAAAACTTTGTGACATAAATTTACAAATTGTGTCTTTTAAAATGCTTTTGAGTCTATTCATTTAAAACTGAAGTGGAGTGTTTCGGTTTCACAGGGTAATAAAAAGGATACCTTCTCCTGAACTCTTTTTTGATTTCAGCTTCAATTTCACTCCTAAGCAAGATAACCAGCTTCCAACTAGAACACAGGGCCACAAGGAAGCACAGAAAAAAGCTCAAGTATCAAAGTTGACATGGCCTCTAGACAAGTTTCTTGTTAGACTTGACAAAAAAAAACTTTGGCTTCAAAGAAATATTTTTGTTTGACCAAACATAATTTTGTTCCAAACTGACACTGGCCATAATATTCAACTTTACAACAGGAATATGTGCCAAAGTCCAGTATGTAGGAATTAGCGGCATCTAGCTTTGTAGATGCAGAGAACAACACGCTCACTTCACTCATTTTCCCAAGCACTAAGGAAAAACAACAGTGGTTGTGAAACCCCCAAAAACGCTAACACCTCTATCTACAGCCAGTGTTTGGTTTGTCCCTTCTGGGTTACTGTTGTTCTAGGGTTCAACATGGCAGACTCTGCCAATAGATCCTATTAAATGTAACACACTGGACCTTTACCTGCCAGTCTCCCCAGAAAAAAATTCATTAGAAATACTTGTTTAGACTTGTTTACTATTGTGTTTAACAGCGATCCTTAGCGTGCCATTACTGAATACTCTGCGTACAGTGCCTGGTGGCTGACAAACTCTGAGTCACTGATTCATGGCTGCATCCTGCTCACTAACATAATGGCGAGTGTATCTGAAGCATTTCCACCTCCCTCAGGGGAACCTGCCCCATTTATAGGGAGTTATAGACTGCAGAGTTCATTATTCATAATAGCTGGATTGAACCAGCCCCCATATGTAGCCTGAATCTGATCATGCAGCAAAGCAAAAATCTCTTCACTGAATCTTCCTGGAGTACTGAAGGGTTGAATAATGAGAGCGTGAAGTAAGGCTCTGTATATTGCACACTCATCAAGCGTACCAGCTAATTATTCTTTGATTCATGTGCTTTATCAGCACCTGCTTGAAGTTATTATATTGCTAGGTGGCTACAACTTTTGATGGGATTGTAATATTTCTGCCACACAGACAATGTACTGAAGCAGAATGTGCATGTATCTATTTCCTTAAGATTTCGGTCACATCTGGTTTAAGAGATTTCAGTGACATCGGCAACAATAGCTCGGGCTCGTGTTTTGATCGTGTCGCCATGTTTTTGCTTGCCCTTAACACTATGAAACCATTAAGTAAACATCCCTCCATAAAACAAACAATGTGGAGCAGATTGAGAGTAAACAAATGGCAGGGATACAGTGCTGCAACACAGCTTGCCCTTGCATAGCTGGGAGACTGAGGATGCAGACAAAAGAGGCTTTAATCAATTAGTGAGAAACGTGTCTGGCAGGGTCCTGCATTTTCATTCTCCCCACGTCTCTTCTCTCCATATTTTCTTGCTTATTTAAGAGATGGTAAAAAGCACTGATCACTTTAATATTTTATTCCTCCTCCTTGCTCCCTACTAGTGGTTGAGAGAGTTAGATTTTTCAAATGATTATGTTGATTATGAGAGGTAAGGTAAGATATTTAGGGCCCTTTTCATCTCCAGGAATATTGTCTTCTCTTAGACAGCAGAAAGGCTGGAGCTAGAGAGAAAGAGGATAGAACATGTGAGGAGAACCAAACTCCAGCAATCAATTAAAGTGTTATTCTGTATCATTATTTCCACAAAATATTTCCTCTTCACCTCCAAGATCGTCTGAGACCAGCCACCCGGACAGCTGCTGCAACATCATGTTAAAAAGCTGGGTAACACACTGAAATTTAACCTCATAAACTACAGACATATAAGAAACTCTCTTACTGTTGAAGCATCACATACATATTAAAATGCAATGATTCTCCCACATCTTTTCTATTGCATGACAAGTTGGTCTCAGGCATGTAAAACAGCCTTTAAAACAACTTGAATCATTATATAAAAGTGCCCTTAAGATTCACGACAAAAAAACACATCAGTATCATCACTGTCATATACTCACCAAATATAGTATTTTAAATCTTGAAAATCTAATAATGCACACAAATGTATGCCTACTGTTTAAAATCATTCATAATGCTACTGCTCCTCCTTTGAAAAAAATGGTTACACTCTGCTCAGAAAAAACAACGAGAGCTACCCGATCAGTTAGAGTGCAGTATTCCTAAATGCAGGACTTCATTTGGTAAATCATCTTTTTCTTTTGTTGCCAAAAATCAATGGAACACACTTCCAACTGCGGATTTTAAAACATTTTCATGTCACACAAAACGTTGGAGCAAACTTGTAAACATTTGTGAGTGTGTGTGTGTGTGTGTGTGTGTGTATTTGATGGGGGGGGGGCATATTCATTTATAAAAGTTGGCGGGAGGGGGGTAAATTGTTTTAAATTGTTTTAATGATGTGGGAATGTGTGTATTCATAACTTTGTAATTGAAATTTTGCACAACGGTGAATTTAGTAACTGTTTTCAATTTATTGTATGTTCCATCTACCTGCCCAGGGACTACGGGTGGAAAAAAGCAACTTGCTAAAACCCGGTGCAATGCATCTCTCCTTGTTATATACAGGGTTAATGTTTTATTGTGCACTGTCCCTGTTCAAATAAAATAAATAATAATAATAATAATAACAATCGTTTGGCATAACCAAATAATTTCCACACAAACTGTCAGGAACCGTCTCAGGGAAGCTCATCTGCATGCTCGTCGTCCTCATCGGGGGCTCGACCTGACTGCAGTTCGCCGTCGTAACCGACTTGAGTGGGCAAATGCTCACATTCGATGGCGTCTGGCACGAGGTGTTCTCTTCACGGATAAATCCCGGTTTTCACTGTACAGGGCAGATGGCAGACAGCGTGTATGGCGTCGTGTGGGTGAGCGGTTTGCTGATGTCAACGTTGTGGATCGAGTGGCCCATGATAGCGGTGGGTTTATGGTATGGGCAGGCATGTGTTATGGACAACGAACACAGGTGCATTTTATTGATGGCATTTTGAATGCATTTTGAGATACCGTGACGAGATCCTGAGGCCCATTGTTGTGCCATTCATCCACGACCATCACCTCATGTTGCATCATGATAATGCACGGCCCCATGTTGCAAGGATCTGTTCACAATTCCTGGAAGCTGAAAACATCCCAGTTCTTGCATGGCCAGACTACTCACCGGACATGTCACCCATTGAGCATGTTTGGGATGCTTTGGATTGGCGTATACGACAGCGTGTTCCAGGTCCTGCCAATGTCCAGCAAAAGAGGAGTGGACCGACATTCCACAGGCCACAATCAACAACCTGATCAACTCTATGCGAAGGAGATGTGTTTCACTGTGTGAGGCAAATGGTGGTCACACCAGATACTGACTGGTTTCCGGACCCCCCCGGACGCCCCCAATACAGTGAAACTGCACATTTTCAATTGCAATACCCTGTGCAATACCCATGCTGTCTGATCAGCATCTTGAAATGCCACACCTGTGAGGTGGATGGATTATCTCGGCAAAGGAGAAGTGCTCACTAACACAGATTTTGACAGATTTGTGAACAATATTTGAGAGAAATAGGCCTTTTGTGTACATATAGAAAGTCTTAGATCTTTGAGTTCAGCTCATGATGAATGGGGGCAAAAACAAAAGTGTTGCGTTTATAATTTTGTTGAGTGTAATTGCCCTGGCTTGGTAAAAAATCTCCCATTGTTTTCTTTCAGTTTACATAGTAGGCTACAGCAGAAAGGTCAATGGTATTCTGATGATATATGAAAGGAACTTTCTTTCCATCACTTCATCACACCACTGAGCAATATATTAGCTTCTTGAAAATTGTAACCAATCGCAAAACAGTAGACCTCTGATCTAAGAAACATTTATTTATATAGTCCCAGTTAATTAATGAATTCATAAATTAATGTATTAAAAATATTAATTGATTGCATCTTGGTTCCATATATTGGTATAAGGCAGTCTATTCTATCTTAGGCTACACCTGGAAGTTGGTTGACATTTTCCAAAATTCATATTCTCCATTATGTAAAAGATAAATGGACTGTACATCCGACCAACTGAAAGCAATTTACACAACATGTCACATTTAGCCATTCAAACACATTCATACACCTACCTCCTGAACAACAGCCGCCCAACATACACATGTACATAATGTCTATTGCATGTCAATGAGCTGAAAGAGGCATTCCTATGCTGCTCTTCCTGAGGTTTTCTTCCATTTTTTACCATTAAAGGATTTTTCTGGGCAGTTATTTCTCATCCGAATTGAGGGTCATATGCTATACAGATTGCAAAACCCTTTGAGGCAAACTTGTAATTATGGGCTATATGAATAAAATTGACTTGACTAGAGCATTGGCGTCATGGGCACAAATAACCACCCAAAGCAGCCAGTGAATGTAAATAGGTGTGCTTTTAAACTAGTTTTTTCTGGATGAAACAAAATACTATATTACCTAAAATAAATCAGCCAAAACCAATAAGTCAGTATTTACTCTCTACCATCACAACTGCACATCCCTTGTTCTCTCCTTCTTCCCCACAACTTGGCTGACACATTTGTTTGAAGGGCTTCTTCCATATCATCACAGTGAGGGGAAGAACACTGTTTTAACATACTGTATTATTACTGTTTGTCCATGCCTAGCCGTTGTAAGTTCAATAAAGCTTTTGAAACCAGCCAGCTTCGTCCTATTGCTCAAAAACCTCAATAAACTCTAAAACTGAGATGTCAGCGTTTGAAGAGTGTCCTTGAAGAACTATAATAGTTTGCTAGGGGCTTGTTATGTTTGGTGGACTGCAACCTCGCAAAGCATTTGTATCAATCCATTCATCATGCTTATCCTATTAAACATACATTGGGAGAGAGTTGGGGCACAGAAAATATAGACACACACATTTACACTAATTAACTATTTACAATCTGCAGTCCACCTACAGTAACCTGCATGTCGAGAAAACCAGAGAACCTGGAGGAAACCGACGCAGACACAAGACAAACTACACAATTTCCTTTCCTATTTTCATTTTAAAATCATTTTGTCAAAGGAGCTGAAGAGCAAAATGCTGTCAATCAATAATTTACTACCCGTTCCTCCCATCCATATACGTGTTCCATCTCAAGTAGGCTGTGGTGGGAATACCTTATAGCATGTCTGTAGCCTGTAGCTAAAAAATGAAAAATATCTGGGCTTACGTTTCGGAGAGGTTGAAGACCTTCTGGGAATCCCCACTCACAATGCGGTACGTGATCGGGTCGTTTTCTCTGTCTATGGCCTGGGAGAAGGAAAAGAAAAGCAGACTCTTGAAGATTATATTGAACCATTAAAGGTGAAGGTTATGAGATATGACAGTTGAGCAACATGGATGTTGGACTAGAGTGGAAGTGAGAATACTGCTTGCTGGAGAGTGAAACATGAGAGAGGAGGGAAAAAAGTTGATTTTGTTTGCCCAAAACTACAATACACTGTAACAATGTATTTAAAATATAATCAGCTTAAAAACTGTAGTATACTGACAGTGACTCACCTGCAGATTGAGCAGAATAGCTCCTATCCTCATGGCTTCACTGATTTCCAGGCCATAGGTGAGGAGAGGGAACCGTGGGGGACTCTGGTTGTTGGGTGGCAAAACCTCAATGTACACTGTAGTGATGGAGCTCCTGGAAGAATAAAAAGCACGCTCAGCCCACTGACGGCATCGGTTTCACTGTGACAACTTGTTAATACATACTGAAGTACCTAGCCTATAGTGAAAAAGATTATAATAATATATAATCCCAAATTAGAGCTATCTTATTTTATCATCTCATTTATTTGACTCGTTTTTAATTACTCCTGTGTTGTTATGTCATTATGTAAAACTGTAATGGATAATATGAATTTTAGTTTAATTTCTTTTAAGTAGGATCTTTACCTGATTCACAATGGTATCATGAATGTTTCTTTATACAAACACAATGCAAGCCTTTCGTTCATGATTTGATCATGAACGAAAAATCTGCTTGCTTGTCCTCAGTTGTTCACAGCAGCACACACAAAAATGGAAGTGACTGTGTTCATTATTTATTCATTCATTATGTGAGAAATCTTTTGGTGAACTGCTATAAATGCACATGTACAAATGTACTTGTAGATGATCTGACGTGGAGCGCAAAAAACATTTTGCATAGTACATTGTGTCATTATGTCAAGCTGTAGTCTGCTGTAGCTTCTTTTAATCCTGGGTCATTGAAATGTGGCACTGCCAGTCTTACTTTTACTCTGTGAAATCAAAGTGGTTATTTTATTTCACTGCAACTCCAACCTTTTGATACTTTGTGCCAATATACTTTGCTTTTGCACTGAGTTAATTAATTTCTTTTTATTAACAAGATAAAGAGCAGACAATGTATGAAACATATCAACCTGAATCTCTGCATTGTTATATGGAACAAGGCCATCTGTTTTTTGGCTTGTAACAGCTCAAAAATATTCTTTCTCCATAATTCAGACTTTCCATTCTATTCAGAAACTAACCTGTGAATCACTATGAGCACATATTGAATTAAACAAGACTTGTAAAACAACGCATGCTTGTGCTCCCCTACAACTCTGAGAAGACACAAAAATTAAACTGACTGCATATGGGAAAGTCTTAAAACAACTAAGAAACACATCTGTTCTTTATAAAACAGTAATGAAAAGCACATCACATCAATCGCATTAAAATAACAAAGCTTTCAATCTAAGAATGAAATCACACCTAAAAAGACATCTAGCACGCAAGGTCATTGTGCAGTACCTTCTCTGGATCTCTGGTGCATTGTCAGATGCCTTGACAGTCAGTGCATAAGATCGTCCCACGGTTAAAGTGACACCAGGCGCCACTGTGATGCGTCCAGTGCGATTACTAATGACAAAGTCATTCTGGGCCCCAGCCAGTATCTCATAGGTCACCAGACCATTCAGTCCCTCATCAGCATCTGCTGCTGTTAACTGGGAGAATAGAGGGAGAGAAATAGACAGATACACATTATACAAATATGATCATATTTTCATCTGTACTTTGTAGTTTTACAGGGGGGGTTCTGCACAGCTGCCAGTATCATGCTTACTGAACCAGTCAAGCAGTAAATATTTCTCAGTAGGGGGTTGTGAATGACTTCAGTCAAGTTGCCAGATTACAGTAGATTCATTTTGCTGCCATATTATCATCTAATTGACACATGACCCTTGTTTTTAACATTAAATAGGAACAAATGGTTGGCATTTAGCTGGAAGTGTATGTGTTACTGATGTTGCAAGCTGACCAACTTTTTCTGTTGTCTCCAATCTCCTGACTCCTAGTGATTGTACTTTGGGGACATTAATGATCAATAACGTTGGGACTGGATGGAATTAACTCCCTCTACCATTTATATGAGATGGATCGCCGAGTTGTGGAAAGACAGCTGCCGGGGAAAGTTTTTTGGGAAGTAAGATGAGAAAAAAACATATAGCACTATATAAATAGATAATTTCTTGCATACTCTGTTATCGAATGAATTAGGCAGCCACCATTTCCTTCAAGCCAATTATTTAGGGCATCCCGCTGCTTGTAATTATGAGCCCTCGTGGTGTAGCTGGTTTCATATCTTTAAGGCCTTGAAACTTTAATCCAGGCTGCCCAGACCTCCTTTTTCATGCTCCTGACGTTGGGAGTAAAAGCTGTAGCATCAAATAAGCAGCAGCATCCTCAGGGAGCCTGCGGCTCTCATAAACGGCTTATAAAAATCGGTTAAGCGGTCATACCAGACACTCTGTGACCCCTGGCCTCATTTTGGGGAGGGCGAAACGGCTGGTTTTTAAGACAGATTAAACTTGACCTTTTCAGCGTCTGACATTTTTTTTGAGTGGCTATACTGAGAGGACAGATGAACTGAAAGACGAAAAGATCATGCTCCAACTACCAAATAAGATGACAATGAAATTATGGAATTCCCCATGTTAATAGATTAATAGCAGAATGGGGGGATGGAGTTACATTTATTTTGAAGACCATGCGTGCATGTATAATGTGTCTGTGCATGTCCTCACGTCATGCACTTGTGCACAGATGCTTGCTTTAGTTGGTATTGGCATGCATATATGTGTGTGTATGAAAAGATAATAACCTTTAAATCCAGTTCACTAATGACATCAAGTAAACAATGTTCCTAATCCATAAAAATAATAAAAAACCTGTTTTAAAATCCTTTTCATGCAATGGGAAAGATTGAAAAATGTTCACTGATGCCGACCACAATTAAATAACTTCAGTCATGATAGCAGCGGATCTACTGAGTTAAAGGTTTCCCAGGCCTGTGCACTGAGGATGGAGAAGACATTTTCTCCGATTTGTCTGTCATGACTGCAGATGAGACGGAGGGAACTGTTCCAGGGGTTTGCCTGTCAACACAATGCACTGGATTGTTGTGGTTTATTTGCTTTGAGCATAAAAGAACATGTTTGAGAGTGAGAGACAAGGACAGAAGTGTAAAGCAGAATGCCAGAGCAAGAGAGCAAAAAGTGAGGGAGAAAGACAAGAGGACAATTGTTGGATTGATTACCTGTAGTACAGTCTCTCCTGGCTGCATGTCTGTGAAGACTTCAACGCTGTAGGAGACCTCTGCAAACGTGGGTGTATTGTCATTGGCATCAATGACCAGTATGTTGACAGTTACTGGGCTACTCTGCTGGACGCCATCTGATGCCACCATCTGTAAACACAAGAATAAGAAATAAGTATAGTGGCTTTGGAAACGGAAAACAAGTCAACATTTGTTTAAATAAATAAGTAAAATTCAAGTTTATGCTTTTAATATTGTTTTGCTTTGATAAGACAACATGCTTCTCCCACCACCCTTACACTGTGCTGTTGTATATGTTCATTTTTCATTCCTTTAATGTTAGGAAACCCTTTACAGAGATGAGAGGAGAGAGCTTGCCTAAAGGACTGCATGTTTATTTGTCCCTGGCAGCTCTGATCTCCACTACTTGGCAAGGGAGAAAGAAAATTGACCGAGAAGAACAACAAATGAAGTGTAGGAGAGTAGAGATCTAAACATCAACTGTGGCAGCAGCAAGAAAAACATGGGGAAATTGCTTTTCCCCAAAAAATGTACACTCAATGCTGAAATTGAAATGACACATCCTTCTGGTTATACTGTACACTATACATCAGGAAGGGTTTTTAGTAGCAGCTAAACACTTGCAGCGAAGGTGTCGTACAGAAACACATGATAACATATACGACAGCAGCTATTTTCTGTCCTATCAAACAGTGTTTTTGTTCTTCAGCCAGCCCCAGGAGAGAGATGCCAGACATTTTTGTGGGAGCCAAGGGGTGAAGCAGATTTGGATTTACTGAGTGATCATAGCTGTATGTATAGACCCTCCATATGTATACACATGTGCAAGTATTGACACGTCTCTGCATAAACATAGCTATACAAAACAGATTTAAACAACGTCATTCCTGCCTCCTAATTGCTCTCTTCCTCTCTCTCACACACACAGTAACAGTCAGAACTGAAACAAAACTTAAACATAATAATCTTTGAAGGCTGATATTTATCTAAATTGAATCTGTGTGCTCTCTCTCCTTCCAGCCCAGGATACACAGCGTAATTATAAAATTGATTTGATACTAGCATTTACAGAAAGACACGATTTCTCTCAATAACAATCTCTGAAATAACATCATCTTAGAAAAGCAAATACACAACCTCCAAAGCCTCTATACTGTTATCTAGTAAACATTAGGTTAACAAGCTTTTAGCAAGCTTTTGCATTCACTTGTAATGTTTGATAACATAAGCAATTAAGATTTCTCCAAGATACCATTTCTAGATCAGTTTAACCCGTTTCAACTTCAGAAAAACATTTGACTCAAGAATTGACCTCATTCTATTCACTCATGTACTCATGGACTGAATTAGTCATATGTAAGATTTGGACATAATGACTGGTTGAGAAGTGTTAGTGCACAAAAACGATGTCAACTGAGGTCAATTTTATTTCTATTAAATGATTTTTACAGCTACACAGGCTGGTTTGTGAAAGCAGGATGTCAGTAGCAGCTTCGGTCCTCATTGTGTATACAGGATGCATTCAGGCACAGCCCTGCTGTGTACAACACAACTACAGAATCACTGACGATATGTCCATGAAATGGAAGAAGAGTCACTTATAAAGATACTTCAGGTGATAGGTAAAGTGTGAATGAAAATCAAGCCATTACTAAAATAGAAGTGTATTGATTCCACCAGATTTATGAGATGGACAACTGAAACATCATAAATTGACAGCCTGTTAGGTCATGTAAATAGCTAGCAGGATGTACTTGTGATATAATAATATGATTGCTGAGTCTAATGTGAGAGATGGATCAAACTCTGATTAAAGTATAGGTTAGGTATGTATCAGATTTTCATGCTATGATTATTGTGGCCAAAAATCATCCGATTTTCACCAATTCAAGGTCTAGTCGAGCCAATCACAAATGTTATTAGGCATGATTTATGCAATGACTGTTCTGAGGAGCGCAACCTATTTGGCCATTTAGCCCTTTTTTATAACTAACCAAGATGGCTGCAGCCGAACTGTTACTGTTGAATCCACCATCTACGCTACTCCCTGATTGGTTGTAGGTACATCCAATTCCTTCCAGAGGCATTTTGGTCTGCGCCTGTTGGAAATCAAAAATTAACTGAGAGGTTCCAGACCAATTTGAATTTGTGAATTAGTCTGACGATGCCAGGCTAACAGATGAGTGGACTTTAAATGTAGTGCTGCATCTGTGTCTCTTAGATTCTATGCACCCATTTGTGGTTTCAAAATCCATTAATTTGTTTATGAAATTTGCTCCGACACACCTGTCTATAAGACTTTCTGGAACAAAAGGACTTTGTAGTAAGTGTCAACTGCAGTGTGATAAAATAATTTAAAAAAAGAACTCCTAACATAAGAGCGATGTAGTGCAGCAAAGTTCTCCGCATTACTACTAAGCTATGTCAGCATAGTAAGCCAAGGCAGCAGTAGCTACAGCATGGTTCACTGATCCTGCAGTGGGCACTCTGTATCTGTTTGACCAGTAACAAGTTGTTCCCTCTTGGCTAACAAAATACAACCCTAAGTGAAGTCAGTAGAATTGCACTGTGTTCACAGTGCCCTCTGAAGACTGAAATATTCATGGTAATGAAGGTACTAGAAATTCTCAATGGTGTTATCATCAAAATTTACTGAAGTTAATGGTAAAACCAGTATTGTATTATCTCTGGCCGAGACTGAATTCCTCATGTAGGATGAAATGACCCATTTCAACCAGCAAGGGGGTAATACTTTACTAAATATATGCAAGTGGAGTTTTGTACAAGAGAGTGTATAGAAGGGTTAGATCATTACAAATACATCTACCTCTGAAGCTATCAAGCATATTATGTATTACAGGTCTTGGGAAACATCAACAAATGCAACTAAAATATTCACCATGCAATAAACATCATCTTTTATTCTGTGATGTGGAGGATGTGTCAGAGAGATAGTGAGAACAATGCTGCTGATGATCCTGGAAGTGAATTTCTCCTTTACATCTGATATTGCAGACGCAATGCAGAAACCATTATAAAGAGCTGAGGGGGAAACGGAAATCTAAAAATGCCATGTATTGAACAGTCACCACTGAAAAGCAGGGGAACACTGTCAGCTTTCACTGTAATGTGCAGTCAGAATGGATCCTGAGCTTAAAAGCTATTTTAAGCACTTGTCCAAGAAATAAAACCAGCATTTAAAATCCTCATATGCTTCCAAATCACAGAGAAATCTATAACGGACATGTAAATAAATAAAAACCTGTACACACAGCAGAAAAAGGGGCTGATCCTGACGTCGAAAGCAACCCCCCCCCCAAACTCAACGTTAAAGAATTTAGAGTCAACTGAATAATCCCTGTTCAGAAACTCCAGCACTCTTCAGGGAACCATTCCCAAAGAGCTCACTGTTGGTTTAGTGATTCCCTCTAATCCAGAAGAAACCCCCCTGGATGGAAGGAGCGACTGTATTTCCCAAGATACAACCATCTCTCTGAGCAGAGCCGAAACAAGTTACTTACCAGACTGTTGACATCAATGTAAAAGCAGTAAAGCTGACACTTAAAGTTAAGGAAATTCACTGACACTATGACCGACTAGACTCTATTAACAAAACCAATTATTCTACCTTGCAGATAATTGTAAAACACACTTCTAACTGGAAAGAAACACAAAAACTCACCTAAACCATCTTTGTTAGTCTTTGCACGGTATTCCCAACAATCACCAACGCTGGTTAGGTCGAAATAAACCCTTAATTCACAGTTAGAAAATGCTAAAAGGGCTGCAGTCAAAGCCATGTAGCTAATCCTTGGGGACAAATGCGCCTGTCAAAGTACGTCCACTAAAAATACTTGTTTTTGCCACTGACAGGCCCAGATTATTATTCTAAGCATCAACAGACTCAGCAACATTAAGTGTGTTGATACAGACAACATCATGAAAAGGATCACTACAGAGATAGAGGCATTTGATTAACAGCTGCTATATTGCTATCACTTGCCACCAGACTCCATAGACAAAAATGGTAAAAACTTGACCCAGAGGGGGTGTGACTTCATGCTCTGCTTAGAACGCCATTACTCCACTATATCTTTACATAGCAAATTGTTGTTTGCTGCTATATAAATCGCATATAACCTTTATATAAACCAGCTAAAAACACCATACAGTAAGAAGATTAATAAAACATCATGAAGATTATGAGTAACCCACTTCAGAATCCTAATGGAACATGAAGGTAGCTGTGGAGTTCAGTGGGACTGAATCATCTGATCCATATTAAGAGATTAGAGAGGTCCCACAGAATATACCCTTTATATGTCTCTTTAAAGGAATAGATTTACATTTAGGGAAAGCGTTGATTTGCTTTCTAGCTGAAGGATAGATAAGAAGCTTGATAACGCTCTCGTTTCTGTTTTTGTACGGATTACACAAGTGAGATATAACATTTAGTGAGCTTCAGACGTGGTGATAGGGAGATTTTGTTACCTTCAGACTAGCTGCTTTTATCAATTTCCTGTCTTTAAACAAAGCTAAGCTACAGTAACAGCCTGCTGGCTATAGCTTCATATTCATCGACAGGTATTGCATTGATCTTTTTATCTAACTCACAGCAAGAAAGCAAATAAACATTTCCGCTAAATGTCAAACCAAATTGATCAAATGTACAATAGGTTATATTTTGTAATGTCAATTTTTTTTTGTGCAAAAAAATGTAAGTGTTTGAATGATTTGCAAACAGGTTTTATTTTTACTGTAGACTTAAAAGTAAGACATGTATTTGAAGTGTACAGTGGCTGCGAGAGCTCAAGGCCCTGCAACTTAAGAACCACGAGCAAATAGATAAAAAACAAGCCAATTAAGAAACACATTCATCAATTTGACAATACACAAGCGATATAAAGAAACATGCTGCAAATACAGACCACACAAGCAATATAGAGAAAAGCTAACTAAACACTAAAAACTGGTGAGACTAACACTAGACTCTATATAGCCAAGATATCCAATACCTATCAGTTTTAAGTGTGGACCGGATATTTTCATTGTTTTCTACATAACTTGCAGTGTTTCTGTAATTCTTTGTGTTCTGTATTTGCAGAATGTTTCTTCATGCCGTATTGTATATCTGCTATCAAATCAGTGAATGTGTTTCTTAATTTGCTTGGCTTTCTCTATAGACATTTTCCTAGATTACAGTACTGTCTATACAGTATCTCTATATGGTTTAAAGTAGTTAAGTCTATTTTTTCAAATGAACATACACAACTATAGAGGTCTGATGTGCCTTTGGTTCACATTTGGATCTAAATTGGTAAATTCAAGTGAACAGGCTGTTTTACTTCACTGCTATTTGACCACTGATAAAGGTCATAGTGCTCTAAAAGTGTCAGGTCAGCTTTGTATCTGCAAGGGCCTCTTGATATAAAGCTAACCTGTGACTTCTATTAATATACACAGAATAGGAGATGTAGGTCACAAGGCTTCAGTGCTGTCTTGCAGATAGCTACACTGAGGTCTGAGGCCTACCGTGAAAGTATAAGCCATCTGCTTCTCCCGATCCACAGGTTTGAGGAGCGTCAGGTAGCGTATTATCCCAGTTGGGGTCAGGCTGAAGATCGTAGTGTAGTCATCCAGGGTAATCTTCACCATGGGGTCTTTCGTCTTCCAACAGAAAGATATACAAAAAGAAACATGTTACCATGGCGACATGAGTGTTTCATCACTGTTTTCCAAGGCCGCAGCTGTAGGGCTGAGAAAACCTATCAAACAGTACATTTTGATCTGCCAAAGAGTTGAAAAAGAAATCAGCTGGCAGGTCTCTCATCTTTCTTCAGAAAACAATGAAGAAGAAGCAGAAACCAATGTCTTTTTGACATGAATGTATCAATAAGGAGAGGAAATTACTTCTGCTAAAACAACATAAACCCATTATTGCCCCTGTTCCTTTTTAGGGAAAAAATATTGACCGCATTATGTAGTCGTTAAAACATATGAGTTTTACAGCTTCTGTTTGGGGTGTCCAAATGCTAATTAAGCTTGAAAAATATTTTTTTTAGAAGAGCCATTTACCAAAGATGTGTCATCACTGCTGTGGTTAGACTTTTAACAAATAAAGCCGGAGTCCACTGTGGTCCACTGCTGCGAGTCGGCTTCGATTCACGTCCATCAATAAGTCCTCTTAAGCGAGTTTGGTAAACATTAGGACTGGGTGGCTTATTGATTTTGTTATCTCTGTTTCCACTTTGATTTGTTAATCTTCTCCAAAGACTGAGTAAAGGGATATTTTGAAAGATGAACAAAAGGTAGCAGTCATTTGCTTTGGCTGTGTGTGTGCCGGTATGTTTCCACCCATTTAAATATAGATCTCTCAGTGGAGTTAGGGTATGGAAAGTGTTCTCCACAGTGCAAACACGAGGGAAACATGCACCCACGCAATCATGTAGTTTGTTAATTAATCAAACAGATATATCAAAACACCTCCTTCATCTGAGTACACACAAGAATCAACTGATAAAATAAATTATTTTGAGAGAGCAAAGCTTATATCAAAAAGAATAATTGCATATTTTAATAATTGCAAGTTTTGACCAAAGCAACTGCAGAAACCACAGCAAAAACATCCACCTGCATATAAAGAAAGAGAACACAGCACAGCAAAACACTCCCAACAACCACCCAAAACACACACTCCCATAAGGATATAAAAGTCAGTGCACAGCTACTAGATCACTACCAGAGACCTGTTTAGTATTCAGCATTTATAAAACAGAAAACAATTTCTGCTGTTGTTAACACAGCAGAAACCTCACAATTTTATTTTCTCTCAAATAGAGTTACAAAGTTCATAATTGCATGTTTAGGATGTCTCCAGCAGTGATGAGTGCTCTCACTTTATTCTTTTTAAAACTTTTTTTTAAGTGATGCATGAATTAACAGTAGGGATGTCCAGAGTCAATTTGCAGAGTAGGGATCAAGCTGATCAACACTTTTTTTTAATGGATCAGCATTGACTACATAAAGCCTATCTGATTCTGACCATTTGTTTATTGCTCTCCAGGTATGGCAGGTGTCAAAACCGCCCAATTTCAATATGTACAAAACACTGAAACCACTTTCCGATGCGTAGCATAGCGGGCAAATAAACATTAGTTTTAATTCATGATATCCACTCTGACATTGTGCCACAGTGAGCAAACAGAGTACTTTTCAGATACACCAGACAAAGAAAACAAAACACATGGTTTTAATCTTCAGCATTTTGTTAAATTCTGTTCAAACTTTTCCTGCTTCAACAGCTCCACACTGACACTACTCTTTCCTCACTGCTATACAAAATATTGTAAGAAACCAATTAAAGCTGTGATGCAGGTTTATTGCAGAGTTGTTAAGCAGTCAAACCCCTTAATTGAATTGGCTTTACTGATATAAATGTAGGACTACTTTAAGCTATTGTGCTCAGTGCAGCTGTATTATGCAGGAAAACATAAATATTGGATTAATCTCTGTAACAGAAGACACTCAATATTAAAAGGACTTGGCAATTGGTGATAGGAGCCAACAATGGAGTCGGGACATCCCTATGTTACACTATGTGTGTGTGTGAGAGTGTGTGTGTATGTGTCACTACAAATACAAGCAGCCCCTTTACCTACAGGTGTATCACCGGGAGCCAGCTACAACAAGGAAACAAATACAGCAGGAAAATGATTCATGAACATGGTACTTTTGTGGTACACAACACAAACACGTGAACGTGGACCTTTAATCAATATTTACTCATTGCACTACAAGCGCTTTGTGTTTGTATGCACATATGCATGAGTGGACATGTGTAAAGTGTAGACAATAGTGAGCATGGGCTGATGAAGGTGCTTTCTTTCTACCTCCTCAATGTCATTATCCAAAGCGATGATTCCCAGGGGGGCAGTAAGGTTGGCGCTGACTGAGATAGTTGTACCCACTGGGGAGGACTCACTCACGTAGCCCTGATAGGTGGCAAACTGGAAATATGGTGCCTGGTTGTTCTCATCCAGGATCTCGATAATGAGGTCAGCATATGCTGGGAGCGGGTGACCGTTGTCCTGCTCAGCCTGAAAAAAAATGAAAGACAAAATATCATGAGAGAGAAAGAGAGGGGGGGAGAGAGAGAGAGAGCGAGAGAGAGAGAGAGCGAGAGAGAGTCAGTGTGTCAAATATCAACAAGGTTTTAAAAAAGTCTGAAAACCAGTCTGCTGGAAATTTATTAAGAAGTAATAATGAGTTGGATGATGAGAATAACACAGGCAAGAATTATGCTGCCCCAACTCTTATGCAAGCACAGGGACAGAAAGGAGTAATTTCTCTGAGTGTCATTTCAATTACAAAAAGCTACATTGACTAAATTTAATCAGGAGTCCATTTAGGATTAGGCCTTAGTAATTACCAGGGCACTTAATGCAAATACCATCATTTGTAGGGGAGAGACAGTAATTAGTGGCTCTTGCTATTTCGTAAAGCGAGTGACCAATGTTGGACTCATTGGAAATATTACTGGCTAAGTTGGTGCAAATATAAACCAACTGACTAGTAAATAAGTGTACTAGCACTTGTTTCCGGTTCGGTCTGTCTCCATTGCTGGTTGTGCAAACTTGACTGAATTGAATTCCGTGCGCTTCTGTGTCTCAGTTTTGCCTGAAAGCTCAAATGAACCGTGGAACTGTCTGATATGATAAAATGCCAGCTAACACCTCTTCCTACACAGCATGTTGATATCCTTCTCCAAAAACAGACATGCAGCATCCAGTCATAGGACACAACTCATTTAAATGTCATTTTGAAAGTCTCCTAAAGACAGCAATATGGGATAAATAGTAAAGTGAAAAATACCTGAATTGGGTAATAGTTCTTGGTAAAGTCAGCAATTCCCCAAAAATCCCATTCCTACTATATGAAATCAATAGACTTTCTTAATAAACTATTAGACATTCTATAAAATATTAAAATTCACTAAAACATGCAGTGCAACTGAATCCCCAGAAATGTTGACTCAATGAAATGTTGACAGCTGACACAGTTGGTGGGTGACAGCTTCAGTAACATAATACATTACCATAAATCAAAATGTGTGTTCTTCAAACCAGTATAAAGCCTTAAGAAGCTATACTTTTATATATATCAATACCAAGTTGCATCTGACACCAGCCCAGTGAGACCAGACCAAATGAACATGGTCTGGTCAGGCTGTCACTGCAATCTTCCCCCTCCTAAGCACATATGTCACTGTTGGCTCCCACACTGGGATGCTTCAGAAACATTAAGGCTTTGAAAATACAGATGGAGAGGGGGAGTGAGACGACATCAGTTTAAGCCATGACCTGGAACTAATTCTGCACATTAGCTCAATTTCACTGGGCTTGAGTTGTAGAGTGCCGATTGTAACAGAAGAATATAGTTTTGCTAAATGGCAAAGTGCAGGGGCCACAAAACTCTGTAATTTCTTGTTTATTGTCTGGTGTGTATACCTTACGATTGCAGACGCCCGCTGAAGACAATTTTGCAGTTTTTCGCACATCCATTTGAGTTTCACTCCAGTTCAAGTTCACACCTGTTTTTATTGCCATCGCAATGTTATGCTAGACTATCTTTCCCGAAAATCGTCTACCTTTTTCCCTTATCTGAGTGATAATAAAGAACACCCACACTCCGCTGACCCAAAAGATGTAATCTGCTCGCACAAACACCTGAGGGAAAAGTGCTGCCATTGACAGACTAAGTGTGTGTGCCTCGGTGTTGTCTCTTTTTCTCACCATTCACACACACATTTTTGCCAAAGACAGAGAAAAGATGGGGAGTAGGATTACAGTGTTCCCTGGCGATTTAGCTCTTTAGTCGTGTCCCTATTTCTGGGAGGCAGTGCTAAATGACCTACGCTCCACTGCTACAACACACAGGCCTGCAGGAGATTCAATGCAACCGAAAGTCACTGTTTATCTCTCAGTCATGATTCTCCCATCCTGACTCCATCATCCTTAAAGTGTCATACTGTATCTCTATGCTTTCTTTTTTTTCATTTAACCAGACATTTTCTCTCCATCTCCATCCGCCTTTGTCACTTAATTTCATCCTAGTCATCTTGGTAGATATGGCTCCATCAGGATCAATCATGACTTTTGAAGTACAACAGATGTGTTTTAACTAAAATATGCTTGTGATGCTGCAGATCATTCCAACATCAGCCCTTTACCATCCAAAGCATTAGCTATGTACACCACATACTGTGCTGCATCAGAGCACTCTCAAGATACCAAAGTCTAATTCTCACATTCCAGCCCCTTGAGCAATGGTTTCTCCCCCTCTCTATGACTAAGGTAGATAAGGCCCCTACCATCCTCCACACACATCTCTCTATCTATGTTGGTCTTTTCCTGCTTCCCCTTTGAACTGTCTCCCTTCCTCTAGCTATGCACCATCCACCCGAAGACATGCAAAATGCCTCTAATATGATCAATCTACCCTTGCTTCCTTCCTCACCTGGAAATCAGCTCTCCCTCTCATCTCTTTGCTCTCCAGCTATCATGGTAAACAGCAGGTCACGCAGTGCTCTGAGGTGTCTAGAGGTTAGTGATGGGTGGATGGAAAGTTCATCTGCACTGCTGCTCTGCACCAGCAGCATTGAGGCAATCCCTGACTCTGCTCGAAATTAGGATTCATGAGGGCGCAGCAGCCCATCCTCCTGCTAAGTCCATAAATCATAACATCTTTTTCATCCCCATCTCCGAAGCAGCAAAAGATAAGGTTAATGGTCTTCAGGACTGAGGTTATCTAGGTGGAGCGGGTAAGGGTGCATGCTTAAGTTATAGAGATATGAGTTAAACTTAATGTAACACAAGTACATAAAAAATACCATTACAGAATTGAGATGTTGAACTAAAATGATAAAATGCAGAAGCAGCAGGATAATCAATATTCTACCATTCTACCAACTTTGGTAATGACAATAGCATATTATGCTGTATCCATTTGTGTAAAGAAGGAATTGGTGATAATTCAGTATCATCTTATCAGCATAAAAACAGCGTAAGCCCTGGGAAGCCCTGTACAGTATTATCTGTTCTTGTTGCTTAGTTTTTAGATACAGCATCTGACATTGTAGAGTGTTGGATGACAGGCTGTAGTGGGTCTACTCGCTGTGAGGAGTGGTAGTTGTTTTGCAAACAGCATAAAACCAACAACTATGAGTTTGAGAGGTACCGGCGCTCACAGCAGGCGGTCTGCTATTATATCAGAATGGTCTGCACACTTGAGCAGAGCAGGTGTGTGTGCCTCCATTATTTTTGCTGAACTGATTGGGCTTACCTTGTGCAGATATCCACTTAAAAATGTATATAAATGTCTTAATCTATTTATGTTTGATGTAATATTTAGACATTATATGTGATAATTATCTAGCCACAGTTGTTGTACCTTGTTCTTATTCAAGGCAGTTCACAACACTGATAGTGGAAAAAAGTTTCATAGGAATTGAACGACGATGTTTTCACTAGGGTATTGATAAGCTATTGTACAGGGATCTCCTTAAATAATATAAAATGTCTGTGTGAAGCAAGAAAGGTGAGATAAAGCGAGATAGAGAGATCTAATTTCATAACACAATAACTGAAACCCAAAAGCTAGAAACAAGGACTAAAACATATCAATATCTGTCTGCTGAAGCACAGGTTATTTAAAATCTCACTGCTTCTCACTCTTTTGGTTCACAACTGACCCACAGTGGACACGATAAATCCGGTCAATCGTCTCAGAGTCACTCCAGGTCAGACAATGTACTACTACCCTACTGTGAGTGTAGGTTAAAAGTGGATCACTCGTCTGCTCCAAAATTGAGTGATTTCACACATGTCATATTTAAAACTGATATTTACTGAATTGCATTAAAATATTTCTGAAATTGTTTTACAAAAACTTCCAGGCCAGGAAAATGCAATTTGATATATGACTTTATATGAATATGACTTTTCCAGTTTTTTTTATGACTGTACACTACAACCCCAGGAAAGGTTTTTGGACATTTGTAATTCATGCATGTTTTGCTGTTTGGTAGCCTTACAGGATTTTGCACATCTGTGAGTTAACAGCACAACTAGATTATTGTTTGATTTTAGTTTCGTGTAATTTTTGTAAATCTTGCAATCAGTACTGATGACATCCTGTAATCTTTAAAAAAAAATTAAACTAGCACTGGTTCTGATAATGCAACAAGAAAGGAGTGAGTAAGTCAAACTGAATGCTGTTGTTTACCTTGAGGATGAGCGTGAACCTTTGATACAAGTCCCTGCTGATAGGCTGCAGAACACGCAGCTCTGCAGTGGTTCTGTTCAGGGTGAAATACTCTGAGTATGTGACTGGATGACCTGCAATAAAGAATAGAATTCTCAGATTTGGTTTGAGTACACTTTACGATACCATCACGAACAGACCAGAATGAACAATCAGAAGTCATGGCATACCGACCGAGTCAAAGAACATAAAATGTGTCAAATCAATGAAGATACGTGAAGAACCTACCAACCAGGATGTAGTAAAGAATGCCAGGCCTGTCTGATGGCGGCTGTATGTTTCTGTCCATGTCCACGGCCCGGATTGGAGGGGTCACATTCAGTGGGTTCAGTTTGCTCTGCAACAAGGGGTGGGGGAGTTAGTCAACACAGCAAGACAATCAAATGCAAATCCATTTATGTTCTCTTGACTGTGTAGTTGTAGCCTAAAGTTGCACAGCTATTGTCTCCTAAAATAACTCTGAGTGCCTCATTATGCAGAGACAGGAATTACAGTCTTATTAAAAGAAAACTTATGCTAGATATCATCCTCCCTGGAAAATGTTGTGTGTAATATATTCATATTTTGACTGCTGTATAATCTTATGTCATGTGTTGTATATTACATGTAACTCCTCCAGATAAAAACAGTACTCTCTATAGAGGAGGCGCCCTGGTCTTCCTGACCCAGTAATCTGCTGTTATCTGCTTTTAAGGGAATGAAAGGAGCTGCTGTGATTGGCCATTTTTGAAGCTTGACCTACCTCCTACCACCTGCTGATACTGTATTCCTCTGAATAATGTTTGTTCCTATGTCTTTTCACCACATTGTGCTAGCAGGTACACTTTCAGGAAAAGGTCTTACACATTGTGGTTTATTTAAAAATGCTGCCAACATGGAATAAAACCAAAAATAAACAAATAAATGAAATATTTCTGATTCAACAAGCAAATTCGTGATGCAGGCCAGTGCCTTAGCAGTCATAATCCATAGCACACTGGCCAATTACTAGAGTGTCTAATTAATAAGCCAGTGCTATTAAATCTGTTTCTCATGAGCATGCTTCTAAATATGCCTGATGGAGTTTAACCATTAATAATCTGTTTGTGGTGCTGTAGGCTACTTTTCCTGCTCATGCATACTCAGACACCATCAGCACTAATTACCCAGCTCTACCTCTACACTTTTGCATCAACATATGGCTAAGTGGGAATATGTTTAGCACATCACATTTATGAATATGTCTCCTCATGCAAAATGCCTCCATATGGCTCATACTGTATGTGTAAGCATGCTAAGAAGCCTATGCTAAACTTCCTTAGCGTAGACAGTCACATGGCTAACAGCTCTCTGGCAGGAAGAATCCCTCCCTGAGGGGGTATATTTATATCTCTGGAGCTCTGGAGTAATCCTTACACCCCTCCCTACCCAGCCCTCTCGCTTTTACAATGTCTGGAGGTGCGCTAAATCAAATCCCCCTAGCTCTGCACAATGATGATTAGCTATAATACCCTCCTCCAGCAGTCATTATCCCGGGGACTCCAGAGCCCACATTATATCCCCCCAGGGCAAAAAAATAAATACAGATCAACTTAATAATGCCTGTCTAGCCATTGTGATTAATTACAATACACTCATCAATTATGAGAAGACAAATCTCCCCGTGGACAGATATGTTAGCATAATGGTTACACTGCAGAATGGAGAAAAATCAGAGACCAGCAAAAAACTGACTGAAAATTGCAAATGCTAATGTAGGCCATTCCTAAATAAGAACTGTTGTGAAATTAAATTGGAAACTGTTTTAGGAATGTAAAAGGAGGGGAATAGGAGGTTAATGTTATGAAACACTTAATACACCAGAAATGTATGAAACAGACATTCTATTGAGAGTAATGTAAGCGTATACACACAGTAAAGGTAAATGTAACAAGTCTGTAACACCAAACATTGTCTTGGGGCCATGGGAGGATGAAACCATGCAGTGTTTAGAGAGTGAGTAGTGGGAAGAAGGGGAGAAAGGCCAACATTTTCTCACACTAATGAAAAAGCTTTGGTTTGTGTAGCCGGTGCTCTCAGGTCCTGCATACTTAGCAGTCTGCAAACCTTTTATCATAAATTATACATTACATGGGCAAACTCTAAATGGAAAGTCTGGACAAACAACTCACTATGGCAGCTCCCCCTGAACCACAGCTACAGATATGCACATGCAGTACATGTTTAAAATGTACATGCATCAATCTATAACTTTTATATTTTCTCAATATATATAGCTACCATTGTGTCCTTATTGTGTCATTATTACCAGCTTCTCTGTTATCTAATCTCTCTCTCTGTCTCAGTTCAGTTTAATTCAATTCAGTTCGACTCCCATGTCACATGTCAACACAGTACACATGCAGCCTTTTCCCAATACTACATCAGAGCAGTATTCGCAAGGTACCCTACAATTTCATCACGCTCGAGTTAGTGGCGCTAATGAAAATAAAAGTTGGTTTGCGAACAATTAACAACAAAGGAACTTGGCGTTTATTTGCAAAGCAATTCCACTTATTAGAAAAGCTGAAATGTTTCACATTAACCACATATACCTCATAACAGTGAGTGTGAAGTGTGAAAATAATTATACTGGCAGGTCTCCAACATATAAGAGTTTATAATTCACACCTCTTGTACTGTGTTTTCCGATTATGGGAACACCTATGTAATGACATGGAAAACATACAATCACCACACAGAAAGAAGTTGCTAAGATTCAAACCCTCGTGCCTTGAGGATGCCACAATCCCAACCCCCATCCAGTCCAGTCCAGTCCAGTCCATTAAATCCAATCCAATCCAATCCAGACTACTCCAATCCAATTCAATTCAGTACAGTTCTATCCTAGTCTAGTCTAGACTGCTGATGAGGGCTGTGTTATCAAGTTGAAACCTCCGTAACAAACAAGTCAGTAGACCTTGAGTGAAGATTGTTTTGCCAATTGATGTTCCAGAGCAGAACTAAATGGACCTTGAGTTGAGATTGTCCAATGTATTTCAGCACAGTTCACTTGAGTTCAGTCCATTCTAATGACCTTAGAATACACAGGTAATAGATAGATCGATAGATAGATCGATAGACAGACAGACATAGATTAACACATGGTTAAACCTTTTATATTCAATTTCTACTGCTGCACCACTTGTTCTCTCCACCTCAGACTCTTTATCTTAGCTGCCACATCTCTCTCTGTATTTTTCTTGCTTTTATGAACTCCAGTGGTGTTTAGCTGTCATCCCAGGTCAACTCAGCCTTCAGCTCTAATTGCTGGTCCAACAGACCAGAAAATGCCCCTGGAATTACCATGCTGAGACAAAACAGCAAAGCTTAGTCTGCCTCCAGGTGTGGAGGCAAAAGCAAAGTGTAAGCGGACAATTATGCTATTTAACAGGTGTGGCATAGTTTAACATTTAGTAGGAATGTACACATGCAGCATAAATGGATCACAAATCTGAATAATATGACCGTCCATGCACACGCAGGACAGCAGATAAAAACACAACATGCATGCATGACAATACAAATATGCACATATTATTAACAGGAGGAAAGCTGTTAAAATGACCTTGTGGAACAGCAGTGTGTTCACACTTGCCTGTCTGCCTGGTTCTTACCGGTTCAGTGAATTCAGGGATAGCAACACGGTAGGTGAGGGGATTGCAGTCACGGGTGTTGTTCACCAAAACACAAGGCAGGAACATGGGGCCCAGGTCGTCTCCATCCAGAACGTCCACAGTCAGAGTTGTGGTAGCCGTTCGCCTGTTGGGGGGGTATGGAGCACGGTCCTGGAAGATGAACAAAGGCTTTCAGTTTCAACCTTCAAACACCCAGACGATTTGTTGCTTTTTGCACTGGGGCTGCACGCTGCTGGAGCTAAAATCAATAGAACATGTTAAAACCATGACATATCTCTGTAGCTGTTCTTCAGCATATATTACAGTGGTGGCCATTATGGAAGCTCACGGTCATGCCTTAATTCTGTTTTTATTCTTCATTTGTTTGGCTGAGGGGAAAGCGTACTCCAACACATTTTCTTATGCTTTAAGTAGAACAGTATTTAAATACCTTCTACAGCAAATAAAGCAACAAAAAAAAAAATTAATACACTGCTTCAATACCAGGTTAGCTAAGGAAACAGACCATAACCACTGCTAAATAACACATTTGATATCTTAATGAATAGGGAAAACTTATTTATATCATAAAGATAGAAAATACACAATTCAAAAGTAGATTGTATAGGAGCATATAAACATCCAAATTATTTTGCTTATTACTGTATATTTTTAAGGTCCAGTGTATAACATTTAGAACTTTATCTATTATTAGAAATAGAATATAATATTCAGAGGTATGTTTTCATTAGTGTATAATCATCTGAATATAGGAATTGTTGTGTTTACATTACCTTAGAATAAGATCTTTTTATCTATAGACGCTGCAGGTTGCCTTCCATGGAGTCCACCGTGTTAAACTGCCATGTTATTACAGTAGCCCAGAATGGACAAACCAACCACTTTCTCTAGATAGGGCCTTTTGCCTTTTTTGCTAGTTTTCCAGCCACCATATCTTAGCCTAAACACACAGCCAATTCTCATTCCCAGGTCGTCAAACACAGCAATCTGAAACTTCAACGCTAGAAGCCACTAAATCCTACAAACTGGTCTTTTACAAGCATGTTGTTGATTAAGTTACCTGTTTTGTTTTGCTGCATAATAAAATCATATCTTTGAGTTTTTCAACTAGTACTCAGGTAAAAAGTCTGCCACTTGACCATTTGAATGGAAGGGATGTTATGAGTCATCAGAATGTCCAATATCAGACTACTTCAATCCAGATGGTACAGCAATACTCATCCTTTTCCTCTTAAGAAAATGATTCTTGGCAATAAAAGACATCTTTACAGCAGTTATCCTTAAAGATTCACCCTTGTGGTACTGTTGCTAGGCAGAGGGGTATCCTGAGAAGCGAGCAGCACAGCACTTCAAAGATTTTGCGTTGTCAGTGTAATTGAACTCTTGACACAAGCGGCGCAGAGTTCTAGTAAATACCATGTCTTCTTTCTTTCTCTACTCTGACATACTCTTGCTGGAGAAAATGAAATCTCCCTGGAGGACCTCTTACCAGGCTAAAGGGTTGAGTCTTTTGCTCCCTCATGCAGGAAATGGAGTGAACAGGAAGTAGACTGACTGCTAAATGATATCTGTCCTCCAGTACTCCACCTCTTCCAGTTTATAGTATAGAAAATAAGATCTGACTGCTTGTTAGGGTGGGTGAATATGTAATCAGTGATCAGTGAATTACAATGATATGAAGCATGATAATGGTTTGTAACTGAGACTCTCAACTTTCAAACAATAAGGCTTCCAGTACTGATCATACAGGAATGGGAAACTATTAGATCCCAGCCTGGGAGTTTCTCTAATTAAAATTATATTCTTGGCCAGTGGCTTTGTGGCGGCCCTTGGTCAACAGACATTTACTGCCTAATGGCTAATGGTAAGGGCCGGAGAAGGAACAAAAAATCACCTTCATTATTTCATACTCAATTACTTGTGTTACAATATTTTCTCGGTCATGTTGCCTTACGAGAGTGTGAAGGAAAATGCCTTCCCTCAAGTAAAATCCATAATTAAAACAACTCTGATATGCAAAGCTTCTCTAGTATATACAGACAGTTATCTCGGAACGTCTCATAGACATCTTCAATCACTTTTAATGAAAAAAAGATAGAAAATAATAGAAATGAAAAACTGGAGGGTTGAGGCCTCTCAATATTGCTGACTGTGAGCAATCTCTTAGCATTCTCTTAAATTAGTTAACTGTGTTTATGCAATGTCCTTACACTGTCAACTGAGAAATCTCTAATTACATTTTAAGCATCCCTCTTTTCAAGAAAACAAGGAAATCAATGTAATCATTTACAGCACAAGGTTGTACAACAAAATAAAAGTTTGCAGTTCCTACATTCTACCCCCATTTCATCCAAACCGGACATTAGCCAGGAGCAGCCTTAAGTCCAGACTGGGCCAGCATGTCTCCTATCCTGCTCTCTTCTCTCTCTTCCTGGATAGACAGCACCCGCCATGGTGGGCTGGTCGTCACAAGTCCTGCTACTATTTAATCCAAACCCCACCCTTATTTTTCTGATTCAGCAATAAAGCCGAAAACAGATTTAGAAAACCCCAGAGGAATTAGCCTATCCAAGGCAGCATCTGCATGCGCAACCATTGCCATAGTCAAATTCTCCTGATCCAGTTGATTTTAACAATTTTGGATCAGCCACTAAAAATTAAATCAAGTTATGTTTTCAGCAATAAAGTTGCAAAAAATATTGATTAAAACAAAAATGTAGCAAGTTTGAAGGAGCAGTTGCATATACAGGCACAGCCAGTAAAACTGAAAATGAAAAGGATGGTTTGACAAACAATGATGACATCTCTGAAAAAAGAATCCACCAAACTTTGACGTAAAACTACTATCAGGAATAGAAATGATGCAATGTAAGGACTAGAACACATCCAAGCAGCAAACTATTGGCAACATATTCAAAACATCAATTCCCTAAAATGACTGAAAGATCTAAATTATGGTGGGAACCCTCTCTGAGGTCAAGAAAAAAAACAGGTCCTTGAATGTTCTAATTCCACACTACACATGGGAATTTGCAGCTGCTACTGAATACAAAGAATCATCCTTGGTTTAGTGGCATTAAGAGTTTCTTTATCCTCACAGGTGTGAGGTAGACAACCTCCAGCAAAATGTACAAATCAGGTTGTATTTATAAACTGTTTATAGTATAAATCAGTACATTGAGCCTTTATGGTCTTACACATTTACGATCAATGGTGATTGTTCAGATTAGCTTACTTACATTGGCTTGGACCAAAACCAGGTAGCGAGTTCTTTCCTCATAGTTTAGTCTCTCCGCCAGAGTAATGTGTCCTGAAAGGGTGTTTGCGACACTCACTGTTCTGTTAGAGGCCTGAAAAAGATATGAATCGATATGATAAGACATAAAGAAAGGTGAATGTAAGCAAAAAATCATGATTGTTGAAGAAATTTACAATGGTGTAGAGGGTGTTTATCATGGCGTGACTTGTCCATATACCGGGTCATTGGGGTTGTAAAGGATGCTGTATTCTATATGTCCATTTGGTCCATCATCAATGTCCGTAGCGCCATTATTTCCTGAGAAGCCAGTGAAAATGGTCGTTCCAACTGGTGTGAGCTAGAGGAAAATATGGGAGTAGGAAAAAAGAAAAGTCAACAGCTCAAACAGCCCCCTGTGAGTATGTCTACTTACAGCAGAGAGCTCATACATATAGCTATTACTATTGCCACTCCACCCCATTAGTATACAAAAAGAAAAAAAATATCAAAAAGGGGAAATGTTGCAGTCAGCAGCAGTCTAAAGGCTTATGCACACTGCTGACAGAATAACAAAAAGTAAGTATGGGAACCATTGCTGTTCCCCAGAGCCCTCAGCAAAGTCCACAGGACCAGGCAGCGGGCAGGGGAGCTTGTTCAAGGGGAGACGTTGACAGCGATGTAGAATGACTCACTATACTGTTGGGGCAGCTGCATATGGATGTGATAACACACTGTGACAGGAAGTTCGAACATGCAATGTACATAAGGTGTGAACAACGGAGACTAAAGATGTCGTCTAAAACTCAGCAGGAGATTGTCTCCTAATCTCAAGACCCGACTGTAAAGTCAGAAGACTTGATGAATTATCTTGAATCATTGCAGGTGATGCAGGTTTATTTTGGAGCTGTCCTGTCTTGTGCTAGAAGATATACATAACTGACTGCAGAGCAGGCTGCAACAAAATTCAAGAACCTGACTTGCCAGTTTGCATTAATACATATGTGTCAAATGTATAAACTTGAGGAAAAAGAACAAATACTTTGACTGTTGTATCTTACAGGGAAGTTGTACTAAAAATACAGTCTGCGTCAGCCACAGTGTGGGACTGTAGACCCACATTGTACATTATTGTTGTAAAATATAAGTTGTTATTACTTTAAATGTCAAAGTTAAAACATAATAACAGTGTATAGTTGACTAGAAACTAACTACTAACTAATAAGTGCAGGACATCAGACAGTCAGGTTCTTCAATAACAGTGATTCAACAACTTAATTGGACACTTCAGGACCATTTTGACTGTCTGTTTGCCCAAGTGGCCTCAGATGTAAAGCAACTATGTGTGGAAGTCCTTGCCGACCCCACTGGTATCAAAAAGGTTTTTGCAGCAGACAGCAATGCAAGCCACTACAACCAACAACCGGATTTGCTCCCTTACCTCGTTTACTGCAACATAGTAACGAGGCTGCTGAAAGTGAGGGGTGTTGTCATTCAGATCCCTCACAACAATCCGTACTTCATGGAAAATGACAGTGCCGACCAGCTCATTGGTGCACTGGACCTGCACCACAATTGTGGTGATGTAGTTTGGGGGCTGCAAGAGAGAAAAGAAAGACATGTCATTTAAGTGTTACAATGGAAGTTGTTCCTTTTTTTCCAACATACAGTCCTACAGTTGACAGCCACTATAATAAGCTATAACATAAGTGTTTTTATTTTCTTCCCAGAACAGTATCTTGCATTTTATAAAGAATAATAAACTTCACTGACCTTCGCTGGATTCAAATACTTCCAGTAAACAAGCTACATAACCAGCCCAATACACACAATGTTCAAAGAAAGGAGAGAGGATTTTGGCCAAAAATGTTTACCAGCATCCACCAGGGTTATCATTAGAACCAATTTACTTAGTTTGTAACAATGTTTCTGGTGGACAGTATCTTCACATTGAAGACTCAGCCCAAATTGCTATGCAATCCTCTTGTTAATTCTGTTGCCAGCATAATATTGGAGTAAACAAATCATGGCTATTGTTATTTTATTTTAAGCTGGACTGTGGAGCCTGCTTTTGTGTTTTTACATGTAAGAAATAATTAAAATGTCTGATGAAACAAAGAGGTGTGAGCCTGGGCCAGAGCCCTGCCCTGAGTCTGGTACCCACAAAAACATTGTGTAATGGGTAAAAATATCTTTATATAACTTGAATTATAAAAAATGAATTAAGTGCAAGTGGGCAGTGGGAGAAAACAAAAATGCGTTGCTTTTTTCTGGAGAAATCAGAAATGAAATGACAGCACAGAAAGGAAAATATTTAATCAGCCGTCAGGATTTCCTTTTGTTGTGAAAGTCGCAAGCTCGTACATCCTCTCTGAGGAAACATAAAGCTGCAGCAGGAGAACAGGTGCTGCGCCAGTTAACTGAAACTTTTCCAATAATACAGGTCTCTAACCGCAGGAGGACAAGGACACTATAACCCAGTAAACTATTTGTAAAAAAAAACTGTTTGTAATCTGGGACATTATATTGTTGTTAAAAATGTGTGTGGACATGGATTAAGCAAAATTACACAAGGCTTAATTGACATCGGTGCCCAGCTGCAGCGTAGTGAGTCGTAGTTGGTGATCGATTCAGCCAAACAGTTAATTAGCCTATGATTTCAATGAATGTTTCCACATGTTAAACTTATAATTGTGCAACTGACCCGTGTCATTAGCACGGGTCACCAGTTGGATCACAGGTCTTATGTATTAATGGGTTGGGTCTGGTCGGGTCAGAATTTGATTTGGAGATAATTGTAACAGGTCGGTTCTGGTTCTAAGCTCTGTCGGTGCAGGTTTGCAAAACTGGACCTGAAGAGCCTGGGCTGTTCAAATGTACATTGTAGAGCAGCAGCTTGTGCTGCTTGTCAGACATCATCTGAATTTTGAAACAAGGATGATGTTGCCATATGTGTAATGCAGCTGTCTAGCTTCCCCCTCCCCCTCCCCCCAACCCCCTTCTAACTTGCAACGGTTTGACTACAATGTGCACCTCCACTGTTGTCACTTCTCCTTTTAATTGGCCTTATATATACCCATTAGTAGCTTCACATCCAGCTCCCTCCTCTTAGTCCACATAATCTAACCACACATTTCAAAAACAGTTTCTTTCCCACAGCAGTCACAACACTTAACACCCAGTGCTAACCCCCCTGCACTTCACATCTCACATCCTAAACTGTGTCATTTAGATTGTTCAGTATTCGCTGCAGGTTTATTGGATACCCTACATAACTGAAGTGAACATATTACAAACAGACACAGTGCCTGCATTTATTAATTCACTTACTATATTTAGCACTAGAGGCAAATTATCATGCTACACTGTTGCTACAATCCATTTAGTATTTTTGCTCTTTGTGGCTAAACAAAAGTGAATTCACATTTGGTATTAAAATGAAGGAGCAATGAGGCAATAAGAGATTAAACTGTTACTGTAAGATGAAACTCTAGTAAGAATCAAGGTTAACTGCCTTATTATATTGATCATTTTCACACAGTTGCTAGTCAAATTTGCAAAATGCTTCTATTTATCACATTTATTATCTGTTCACTGTTTGTAAGCAAGAAAAATGACAAAGAACTGCAAAGTGCAAAACAAAACTACTAAAGAGACAAAAGGAACAGTGAGTATGTTAACATATGCACCAGCATCCAGGTGCTGATCAGGTTTTTGGAGTATCCCGATAATGTGTTGAGCATGTAAACACCATATCCTGGATTCAGAAATCTGCATAAATCCTTACTCCATTTTGAGAAACCTGGATATGCTAGCTGGAGTACTCTGATAGAAACCAAGAATCAGTGGCATGTAAACACATTATCCAGGTTCCTGATCATTCTCTGCCATGTGTGCATGAGCTTGATCTGCTACAGTTAGGTAGCGGTGAGTCAGTAAATCCACAAATATGATATGGTAAAAGATACAGTATTGATGACGAACAAGCTGGAGGAAAGGGAAAGTCCGACTTTAGTAAAGCAATTCACATCATAAAGTGTATTGTCGCTATTGTTTCTGATTTTTTTTTTTGATCAGATGGAAAAGTTAAATCTAGCTCAGACAGTTCAGAGAGCCATAAATCAAGCTGTGTTGATTCTCAGCTGGTGAATTAACTCATCAGAGACAGAAATTAGTGGCTAATACTACTAATACTAGTACTCTTTTCTTATCCACAAAGGAGCTCACAAAAGACCTAATCTACATATCCATACATGATGGAAAATATATTTTTTATTAATATATATATATATTTTACTTTCTAGACACGTCATGAGTGTGACTTCATTTTTACCAGTTTTTCACTACAGATCACCATTAGTCCTGTACTTACATCTCTGTCCAGGACACGTCCAGTGCTGTTTAGGTAGAGTCTCTGTCGTGCTGGTTCCAGTATCACCCAGTAGTTATAGTTGTCCAGCAATGTCAGTGATATTGTTCTGCCTGGGTCTTGGGCACGGCCATTTATCTGCATGTTTTCCACCAAAACTGTACCTGTGAAGGCAAGACGTCTTAATTTAATACATGTCAGTCTTGTAGAAAGGCATTCACAATCACTGTTTTGTTCTTACAGCATGTTAATAAATTAGGTTGGTGGTAGAAAATAAAGGACATCAAATTAAAAAGACCCGTGACAAAATGTTTTGTTGCTGAAAAAGATTACTGAAAAGCAAAGGCACTGGATGATGAAGGTCATATTACTCCAAACAATCAGCTGAAATGGAAATAAATGAAAAAACAAAGGAGCAATTTTGTTGAATAACATTCCAATGAAGCACAGTGTTTATTTGAATTATTTTTTCTTCCTGTCTTTTTATCTTGTATGCCCTTTTGATAAAACTTTCAGGAGAAAGACATGATTTTTAAAATTTACTCCTGACCACTCAACAACAGCCTTAGAAGACTGACTGCTTCTGATCTCTGTAGACCTTTCCACATCTTATGTGGAAAAATCTATAACACTGATAATTATTATCCTTGAGGGCACCAACACTTTCTGGTTTATATTCCACAGCTTTTAATCAGTGATTGATTAAACTTTGCCACAGCAGCCCTCTGGGACAACCCTGCGAAAGCCTGTTAAATCGGAGGATTGCTTGAATCCTAAGTGGCCAAATTAGTGGATTTATGAAACAACTGGTGGTTAACTAAAAATGGAAAAAAACAATCCAGAAGGAAGTGGTCAGGTATTTTAACTGAGATCAGTGGTAAAATAGGAATTAAAAGTTATACTTAAGTATAAGTACTTCTTATTACGCAACCTGTGGCTCCTTGCACTTTTTCCTATATATTTTGCCTCAATACCTCAATAGCTGTGGTTACTAGTCTTAAGTCTCCCTAGCTAGGCTAGCTAGGGATTCCAAATCGAAATAAAAGTCTTGGAGGGAAATAGTGCACAGACAGATTTGTTTGCTTTCACCACCAACTACGCTGGCTAGGTATACTTGATTTGTGCCAAGAAGTGGCATTATAAGGCTCAAATATGTTTTGCAGCTCCAGACAGACTTTCTTTTTGTAGTTTCTTGGCCAAAAATTGTTCTTTTCAAAGTAAAAATTGCTGACTGCTGTTCTAATGGGTCTCAATTCTACCTGTCTGGTATGTGCTGTTTTATCTAGAGCTACATGTACCCATACAGCATTATGAAAATACAGCATAACTGAAAACACAAAATTCAAAAGGATGAAAGTGACTGACCCACAAAATTCATTCCCCTTATGCAATGGCGAAAAATTTATTCAGTGTATCAGCCTGTGTTAGTTTAATTTTCTGGGGTGCTTCTGATTCAGTATTTCTTGAATATAAAACTTGTGGAAATAATTACTTTTAGTCTTTTAGTTTTATTATTAAAAAACTAAAAAATCGAATATATGAAAAAATATCGAATCAGCTTTGAATTGCAGAGTATAGTATTGTTACAAATGTATGTCAATCATTTTTGTATCAAATGGTGGACTGTACCTATAAAATATAAAGCTTCCGAATGCTAGAGATACACATCCCTGCTTGTAACATAAGTAACAACTGTCTTCTGACCATCATACATACAGACAACACCTTTAGTTTTCACCTCCAACACCAGGAGCTCATAGATAAGCCATCAAATAAGCAAAAAAAATTTCAATAATAGCTCATTAAGCTGAGGTGATCAGTCACTATGCATCTATGCCACTGAAAATTTGAGCAAATCAGAAAATACAGACCATGCATTAGATTCAGATATATTATACATAAGTCTGTGCCAGTGCTTTTGTGTCAAAATGAAAAATGTTTCAATTACTATCTATGACAACAAGAGAATAACCAATTTAGTTCCCAAACACACAGTAACATGTTTTATCCAAACATATATTGGATCAAATATATGATTTATGTGCATATTTTTGTAACCCTTGCTGTAGAAACGTTATTCATATCATGCAGGTATACTGTAAAATATGTTTACACAGTACACTGCTTGAATAGTAAGTCTGGGAAAATCACTTCAGTTTGTGATTGCGTATGTAATTGGCTGATTACATTTGTAATAAAATGATTGTCATTGCTACACTCTTCAAGAGCTTAGACGGAAAACATTTGCCATTTCAACGCATGTCAATGCATTTCTAAAAGGAAGACAAGTATATAAAGCAACATGTGAGGGTTACTGGTCAAGCGCATGAGTAAAATCACAGGTGCCAAGCATAAAAACACATATACACATATAGTTATACTGAGAGCTCAAGTATTTGGTGGATTTTGTTTATTGCCTTAATTAATCTCATTTGCATTCAACACATTTCACATGTAATTAACAATGTGTCTAAAATAAGCTGGTGATTCAAAGTACACTATGTTTTCTCAAAAAAAATAGTTTTGTGTCAAGCTAGTGAACTTAACTGTAGAGACTAAAAGCACTTGACATGCCTCACCCATCTACCAGCTGTAAAACCTAAGAGGGTGGTGGTAGTTTAATGGGCTTTTTAATTACTGCCAATAACATCTTGCATTTTATCCTTTGATAAAGTAGGTTTATCCACTTTGCAGAGTCACTCAGACTCTCAGATACTCAAGAAGGAGCACAGATGGAGGTGTGACGGAAGGGTTTGCCTTATAATTATAATACCCACTGCTGCATTTTTATGCCACTATTAATGACTGTGCTCCCTGTTTGCAGCAGTCAGGGTTTGATGCATTTGTGTGTTGTAATCACAAGGACCTATAATTATCTGTCTCACTTGGGCTAAACTCTGTCTGAAAAATGGATCTTCTAGGAATTTAATTTAAAAGTCAAAAGACCTCCCTGTTGCTGCTTCATTAATCTGAAACACAGCTTTTCATAAATATATCTGCCTCAATAGCTTGAGTGGTGAGCTACATCTTTTTGAAACTCTTGGGTCATAAATTACACCGCTGATAATATTACAAGGGAGGGCACAGAGAGTCTCCTTTCTTTCGCAAGTTAATTGAACTTCAGCTTTTCTGCTGTGACAGCCAATACTCCCACTGTTCTGGGCACTTCCTCTCTCAGTCTCAGTCACTCGGTAAAGTTGTTGTTCTCAACAGGCAAGAGGATGCAGAGGTCAGTCAGACCTGTAAAAAAAACCTACCCAGAGTTTATGATGCTTTATATGTACGTTATTTTGAAATAAATAAAATCACTCTCTCTTTAGTAGCCTGTGACTCAGTCAGGGTCATCTCTGGTCAGAGAGACGCCTCTGATCTGGGCTTCAGAGTGGACTAACCCCACAGAGACAACACAGTGGGCTTACTTTTATCCCAAATATCAATAATGTTGGCATCTGTAGATGATGGCAGCAGATAAGTGTGGAGGCCTGTTTCTGATTGGGCTCCAGGTTTTGTATGAAAAAAATGTGTTACTACTACTGTGTTACTCTTAATTCATAATAGGTTCAGGGTGACACAAGGAAGCAAACCAAAGGAAATAATTGTTTTAAGTAAGTGTTGCCAAAGGCAGGACTGAGTCGGTGAAACAACTACTACTGTTTTTTGAATTGTTCAACATCATTTGATCTCTACGAAACCAAATAAAAAAACAATATTATCTTTTCCTTGAAAAGTGAGTGGTTAATAAGCAAACAAGTATAAATGATAGCATGCTTTTGAATGATGGGGGCTGAAATTAATATTCTGAGAAAATAGCTGCAATTAATATGAACAGATAGCTCTCTGCTGAAAGCTGAAGGATATAGGTCAACAACTATAACTCATTAAGTGTGAACGCTCTCTTTAACAGGTGTTTAATGGTTCTCTCTTCACTCACAATTTCCTTTCCCCTCCTCCCCCGTTTTTAAATGCAGCATTTAATCCTCTGTTGAAAAGGTTTGCACTTTTTTTCCAGCAACTTTAACTATTTTGTACCAGTATCAAAGATCTTTTTTTGTGGGTAAAAGTTCTGGAGGAAATTGTTCAGATCAACTCCTGGCTTTATGAATGGGAACTATATGACTAAGAAGTTTCAGTCTTCTTTTATCAACAACTGAGAGAAAGCCTTTTCCAGTTTTTCTACATCTTTGTGCAACGTTTGATACAGTTGCAATATATCACGTAAACTGAAACGGCACTTTACATTTTAAGTCTTAACTCTCTGGTAAAACCTTTAGCATAGGCCTGAGTGACTGTATGAGTCATTTCAGAACTTCTCTGCAAGGACCACCCTATTTTTATTCCATATTTTTACATTGCCTTTTTCCAACATCTAATTCACTATCTATTTCCACTTTTCTGTGGATGACACAGATTTACTTGGGCAATGACCAAACACAAATGTGCTGTGGCCACAGCTGTCTCTAGGACATCCATTATTGCTGCTGCTCAATGCCAAAAAAGTCTTGAGAGCCTCATAACTGGCCAAAACCCCTGATTTCTAACCCCTGAAGCTCTCTATCCCCGTTTGTTACTCAGGCACAGGAGAAATCCAGTTGAACACACTCAGTATTACTAAACTGACTATCAGCTTTTTTTAATCTGGCTCCCTTTAACTCACAAAAATTATTGGGTGTGGGGTATTTTTCCCCAGTTTCACAGACTTGTTTCTAGTTTTCTGGTGACTTTCGAAGAATACAAATAACAAAATAAGTACATTGCATCAGCATTTTTATGTGGAGGGCATACAAAATAATTTGGCCCTCTGGTGTGAATTTGCATTAACTTCTGGTTTTAACATAACCTAATATTTTTTTGGTCGAAAGGATAGCGAATTAAAAAATTATTCGATTTTCATTTTCTATTTCATAAAACAAAATTAAAATCACTAGAAAACAGAAACGGAAAAAGGCCTGTTTTTCATATTCTGAGACCGGATGTTGTCATTAAAGGGTGGGGAAAAAAAGCCTATATAAAAAAAAAAAAAAAAAAAAAAAAAAAAAAAAAAAAAATAAAAAAAAAATTTATTAAAAAATTTTTACCAGTGTGGGAAATGAAAATAAACGTCTCATATTTATGTCCAAATTGCATATTTGACCATATTTAGTACTGTAAAATTTCATCTTATTTT